ACGGGACCATATAGATTTGACTCTGGATTGAAACGTGTTATGTCACTGTTATTCAGTTGCTCTTTACAAACATGAGCTGTGATACAACCACCGTATCTTTATTTCCTGTACAGTAGCACATAAGGCCAGAAGGTCCATGTATTTCTCTCTGTTCATAATGTGCCGTCACATCAACGGCCTCTGTCTGTCTGTCCATCCGGACGCCCCGTCCGACCCTGCGGTAACGAGCGGACTTTACTGCCGCTGTGAGGGTGGAAGTGTGACGGGGGACAAAGGTCCCTGCGCTCCTCTCTTGCGCCGTGTGTCACACTTTTACACCCATTTTTAGACGCACAAGAAAGTTGAAACATTTCCAACTTTGCACCGTTCATCAATGTCCCAGTTGTCCCAGACAACCAGTGTAATGCAGCAGGAGGCGGGCTTTACTACTTCCCCACTTTCCCTCCGTGTTGATGCCGTTTACTCTGCCGGTAAATGGGTCTGCTCGAATCCTCCGTCCCCGTGGTCCTATATGATCGGCCGGTTGCGCATGCAGCTGTGCTCCACAGACACAGCAGCTGTTTGCTCTTTGTGCTTTAGAATCGACCTCTGCGGGCTGCAGCTCTTCCTTCCTGGTTGGACTCTGTGTACTGGAGCAGCGGTGCACTGAGATCAGTGAAGCTTCTTCTGTCCATCTGAAGGTTTGTAAGAGACACTTTTTAGATGGTGGTTCTGCTGGAGACCGGCTTTTAGCGAGGCCCCTGTAGTTGAGTAGAAGCAGCAGAGAAGTGTACTCAGACTTTGGGCCTCTGTCAGGGTTGTGTTGTCATATTAGTGGATGATGATTATTGATGCATTAACATGGAACCAGTACTTTAATGTTGGAGGGGCTGCAGGAGGATCTGGGGATCACCGGATAATCCGGAACTCAAATTCGGTTCTTGTTGTTTTCATTTGTCATTTTGGAAAGACCAGAAGCGGAAGTGAAGGTTACACTTCACTTCCATTTCAAAATAAAAGCACAGGTACTACAGAGAGAGAGAGACAGATAGAGAGACTCTCCAGAGGAAACGGAGGGTTTATGGGGAGGAGGGCTGCTTTACTCCAAACTATTTGTCTGTATGAAGTGGACTGGAAAAGAACACATTGTAATGCTGCTGTTATATATTATATATGATATATAAGGCATATCTATATCAGGCAGACAGTGAACACAGTTGATGTGTTAGAAGCAGGAAAAATGGGCAGCGTGAGGATCTGAGCCACTTTCACAAGAACCACATTGTGATGGACGACTGGGTCAGAACATCTCCAAACCTGCAGCTCTTGTGGGGGGTTCCCGGTCTGCAGAGGTCAGTACCTATCAAAGTGGTCCAAGGAGGGAACAGAACCAGAGACAGGGTCAGTTCATGGGGCAGCAGCTCTACCAGCTGAGCTACCAGAGTGTCCTATGACACTGTGTGTCACATACTAACAGAATTTATATTATCCGTATGACGTCAGATTGAGTCTGTAGAGCGTTTCAACTGCACAGTGTGTGGATTTTGTGAATGTGAGAAATGTAAACTAGATTTACAGGAATTTCTGAGTATGCGCTGTGAGCGTTACTGGACATACTCAAAATGCATTGTGTCTCTTCAGACTGTCCAATAGCAGATGGTGAGCCAGATGGTTCTAGCGCCACACTGTGGCTGGTAGGAGGCATGGTTGGATAAACCATGAACTTGAAGCAGTAGCTACTCAGGACCCAGAATGTTAAGGTGCACTTAGGAGGAAAAACAGCTGAGCTCAAATATGTATTGTACTATTGTGTAAATATTTCAGCTAACATTAACATATTTAATACTTTTTTACAGACTTTACTGTAAAATATTACATTGAGTGGAAGATTTTATAGAATAGAATCCTCTTTATTCTCACATATACAATCATACCCAGAACAACGTGTAGTGAAATCTTTAACTCGTATTAGACGTATTGAGTGAATATAGTTCAGTTCTGCTGGTAAGGGCATACTCAATCATTCATTCACTACACAGTATGCAGTACATACTGACTGAGTATGTAATGTGCAGTATGTTACTATGTGACACAGCTTTGGTCTGGTTCTTATTTCATGCACTGCAGGACAGGAAACAGAGCTGACTGTGGAACATTGGACACTTTCTCAGGTTAACATCTACAACTGTTGTCTTATCCACATTTTAATGTGTTCACCTTAAAGCTGTGGTTTCAGGATGATTTTATCTTTCTGGTGTTGTTTGGTGTTGTTGCTGCCAGCGCAGATAGAAACAACAGCAGTTCCTTTATTCCAGAACTAAAAGTTGGTGGAACGTGAGCTAACTGAAAATGGGACTTCAGCTGTTTATTTGTGTGTTTTTCTGAAAGAATGAAAGGATTCAATTTAATTCAATTCAATTTGATTTGTATAGCGCCAATTCATAACAGAAGTTATCTAAGGACATTTTCAATTAGACCATGTCTAGACCGAACTCAGACAGACAGACAGACAGACGTGCACAGCAACAAAAATAGCAAGTAGTAAGTAGTGACTGATGATGATGAACGCGAAGAAGAAGATGATGACAACGACAACAACGAGCAGTCATTATAGTACTAATACTAACTGTAATAATATTAATAATAATAATAATTAAAGCTGCAAGCAGCATTGAGCGGGACCTCACACTCCACGCAACTCGGGGTGTGCTGCTGCCGCGTCGCAAGCCATCGTTACACGTGCGGACCAAAACATGAAATTTCACATAAATCAGCTCAAAATTGCCACGCAGCGCTTACTTCCTATTGCCGGTAGGTGGCGCTATCACTATGTCTTAATATTGTCATGTAGACAAGTTCAGGGTGGGACTATTGTAACACACGTGAAGTTTCATTGAGATTGGACCACCTACGCTGAAGTTATGAGGACGTGTTCAGGGCGAGACAGTTACAGAATATATGAAGTTCACTGGAGATTGGACATTGCACACTGAAGTTATGAGTGGTATTTCATGGAGAATCCGCTGAATTCGACAAGTCGTCACTGGCACGGTCATTTCACGTAACGCAGCACAAAATCGCCATGCAGCACTTACTTCCTGTTGCCAGTAGGTGGCGCTATCACTATGTCTGAATATTGTCATGTAGACGTGTTCCGGGTGGGACTTATCAAACACGTGAAGTTTCATTGAGATTGGATCATGAACGCTGAAGTTACGAGGACGTGTTCAGGGTGGAACTGTACACTGAAGTTGAGTACTATCTGTTTATGGTGACTGGTCGAAATTCAACGCAACGCCACGGGCACGCCGTTTGACGGAATGTCGTAAATAGCACAACTTTAAATCATGAATGTCTTTAGATTGCGCTGATTAAATCTGAAGTAGATCCGATAAATTCCCTAGGAGGAGTTTGTTCAAATACAAGGCGAAAAATCACAGAAAATGAGCACAGAATGCAAAATGGCTGACTTTGATGGCAAGCCACGGACACGCCGTTTGACGGAATGTCGTAAATAGCACAACTTTTAATCATGAATGTCTTTAGATTGCGCTGATTAAATTTGAAGTAGATCCGATAAATTGCCTAGGAGGAGTTCGTTCAAATACAACGCGAAAAATCACAGAAAATGACCAAAAAAACTCTAAATGGCTCACTTTGATGCCACACCACGGACACGCCCTTCAACGTACATGCACAAATAGCACAACCTTTAATCAGCACCATGTTTTGACTGTACTCACAAATTTTGAAGCAGATCTGATAAATTCCCTAGGAGGAGTTCGTTCAAATAAAACGCGAAAAGTTCGCCTAAAGTGAAAATGAAAATCAAAATGGCCGACTTCCTGTGGGGTTTGGGGTATGGGTCCAAGAGGCTTTTTTGTACGTCCCAGCATGTTACACGTGCCTACCGAGTTTCGTACATATTGGTGAAACGTGGCGCCGGGGCTTCTGTTTTTTTATCCTGTAGGGGGCACTACACACATGACGAACACGATTTTTGGTATGTGAGCTACAGGCACTACTCTACACGTGCCCTGTGAATTTCATATTAATAACTATTACGGTATTCGCACAGTGATTTACCAAGCCAAAAGAGCGCCACCTAGTGGCGTATTTTGTTTTTCCTTTTTAAGGGAGCCTCAGGGAGCCAGGGGGAAGCATCATACCAAGTTTCATCTTAATCACATATACCGTTGTAGAGATATAAACTTCTTAATTTTAGAGAGCGCCACCTAGTGGAAATGGCCTGAAGTTGTGCACGATGCTTAAGGAAGACATGTGGAACTATGGACCCAAGTTTGGTGTCAATCGGACATACCAATGTGGAGAAATGGTCCACTTCCTTTTTGACGAAAAATCTACAGGAAGTTGGAATTTTATAGCGTGCTTATTTTTTTAAATTTCAAAAATGTTCAAATTAGCCTTTTTGCCAGGGCGGTCCCCAGGTAGTAGGTGAAAAATTTCGTGCGAATCGGAAAAAGCATGTAGGAGAAACACTTAAAAGTAGTTTATGGACATTTTGCGCTCTAGAAAAAAAAATTCTAGGCGGAAGTGGGCGGGGCTTATATGGGGAGATTCAGCTCCATTCACCGAACACGTGGATGTAAGTTTTTTGAATGTCCGACAAACTATGCCGAAGTTATTAGCCTAAACGCATTTTTTATGATAGTAGCGCCACCTAGTGGAAGACCCGAAAGCGACACATGTAATATCCCCATTTTCACCAGGCCTGATCACTTTGCCAAATAAAATTGACTATTCGTATATGTTTAGGGGGGCAAAAATGCAGTCAATGGGGGCTAAAAATAATAGGTAAGAAGAAGATACATATAGGGACCTCCAGCGGTCGCTTGCGAGGTCCCTAATTAAACCTGCAAGCAGCATTGAACGGAACGTCGCAACCGGCGCTTGTCGGGGTGTGCTGCGGCCGTGTCACATGCTGTCGGGGCGTGCTGTGGCCACGTCATGTGCCGTCGTAACACGTGCGGACCACAACATGAACCTTTCACGTAAATCAGCTCAAAATCGCCATGCAGAGCTTACTTCCTGTTGCCAGTAGGTGGCGCTATCTCTATGTCTGAATATTGTCATGTAGACGTGTTCAGGGCAGGACTCTTATCAAATGTGAAGTTTCGTTGAGATCAGATAATGTACACTGAAGTTGTGAGGACGTATTCAGGCTAGGACTGTAACAGAATATGTGAAGTTTAGTGGAGATTGGACATTGTACACTGAAGTTGAGTAGTAAAGAGTTCGGTCTAGACCTGCTCTATTTGAAAAGTGTCCTGAGATAACTTCTGTTATGAATTGGCGCTATACAAATAAAATTGAATTGAATTGAATACTATCTGTTTATGGTGAATGGTCGAAATTCAACGCAACGCCACGGGCACGCCGTTTGACAGAATGTCGTAAATAGCACAACTTTCAATCATGAATGTCTTTAGATTGCGCTGATTAAATTTGAAGTTGATTCGATAAATTCCCTAGGAGGAGTTCGTTCAAATACAAGGTGAAAAATCACAGAAAATGAGCTGGAATTCAAAATGGCTGACTTTGATGCTATGCCACGGACACGCCGTTTGACGGAATGTCGTAAATAGCACAACTTTTAATTAGGGCTGGTCGATATGGCTGAAAAATGTATCACGATATAAGTGTTTCATATCAGTTGATATCGATAATTATCCTATGTGGGGGGGTCTCAATATTGTTCATATTGTCTCTGTACTGTGCCTTGCAATGAGAGGTTCCACACTCTACAAATACTACAAACTTTTATCTGGATAGATGGGCACAGATTAGGCCTCTGCAGCTAAAAGACGCCTACTGTTATTATTATTATTATAATATTATAATGAAACATGACAAACACGATTTTTGGTATGTGACCTTCAGGCACCACTCTTCACGTGTCCTGTGAATTTCATATTCATAAGTACTGTCTCCGCACAGTGGTTTACACTGCCACCAGAGCGCCACCCAGTGGCGTGATTTTTTTCCCTTTTTAGGTGAGCCTCAGGGAGCCATGGGCAAGCATCCTACCAAGTTTCAATTAAATCACACGTGCCGTTGCAGAGATATAAACTTCTTCATTTTAAAGAGCGCCACCTAGTGGTGATGGCCTGAAATTTTGCACGATGCCGAAGAAAGACATGAGAAACTATGGACAGAGGCTTGGTGTCAATCGGACATACCAATGTGGAGAAATGGTCCACTTCCTTTTTTTGACGAAAAATGTACAGGAAGTGTGAATTTTATAGCATTCTTATTTTTTGAAATTTCAAAAATGTTCAAATTTTTTTTTGCCAGGGCGGTCCCCAGGTGCTAGGTGTAATATTTTGTGCGAATTGGACAAAACGTGTAGGAGGAACACGAAAAAGTACTTTAAGGACATTTCGCACTCTAGAAAAAAAATTACAGGCAGAAATGGGCGGGGCCTATATGGAGAGATTCAGCTTCACCGAACGCGTGGATATAAGGTTTTTGAATGTGTGACAAACGATGTGGGAGTTATTATGCAACAAAAAAAGTCAAAATACTTTTCTCAATAGTAGCGCCACCTAGTGGCAGACCCGAAAGCGACACATCTAATATCTCCATTTTCACCAGGCCTGACAAGTTTGTCAAATAAAATTGAGTTTATGTTCGTATATGTTCAGGGGGGCAAAAATGCAGTCAAAGGGGGCTAAAAAGAATAGGTAAGAAGAAGAAATCGAACAAAAACAATAGGGACCTCCAGCGCTCGCTGGCTCGGTCCCTAATAATAACAATAATATCTGTGATATTAGCAATGGCAGTCAAGCAGGACCATGGCAGGAGGCTCCACCAGGATCCATGAGAACCTGCGAGACGAGAAAGCACAAGACCTCGGGGGAAGACACAGGGAAGAAGTGAAGTCAGTAACATGCATTAATGGGACATGAATGAGTGCAGAAAGAGAGAGGAAGAGAGGAGCTCAGTGCACCATGGGAAATCCCCCGATAGTCTAGGCCTATAACAGCATAACTAATGGATGGTTCAGGACTCACCTGATCCAGCCCTAACTATAAGCTTTATCAAAGAAGAACGTCTTAAGCCTACTCTTGAATGTGGTGAGGGTGTCTGCCTCCCGAACCACAACTGGTTCCACAGGAGAGGAGCTTGGTAACTGAAGGCTCTGGCTCCTGTTCTACTTTTAGATACTGTAGGAACCACAAGTAGCCCAGCATTCAGAGAACGTAGTGTTCTAGAGGGGTAATAGGGTACTATGAGCTCTTTAAGATATGAAGGGGCCTGACCATGAAGAGCTTTATAGGTGAGGAGGAGGATTTGAAATTCTATTCTAAATTTTACAGGGAGCCAGTGCAGAGAAGCTAGTACAGGAGAGATGTGATCTCTTTTTCTAGTTCCTGTCAGTACTCGTGCTGCAGCGTTCTGAATTAATTGGAGCATTTTAATGGACTTATTGGGGCAACCTGATAATAAGGAGTTGCAGTAATCCAGCCTTGAAGTAACAAATGCATGGATTAGTTTTTCTGCATCCGTCTGTGATAGTATGTGTCTAATTTTTTTTATATTACGTAAATGAAAGAAGGCAGTCGTGGAGGTCTGCTTTATGTGAGAATTAAATGACAAATCTTGATCAAAGATAACTCCAAGATTCCTGACAGTGGTGCTAGAGGCCAAGGTAATACCATCTAGAGTAACTATATCTTTAGACAGTCAGTCTCTGAGGTTTTTGGGGCCGAGTTTAACATCAGAAAATTGCAGCTCATCCAGGTTTTTATGTCCTTAAGACATGTTTGTAATTTAGATAATTGGTTAATGTCATCTGTGTATCATCTGCATAACAATGAAAGTTAATGGGGTGATTCCTAATAATGTTGCCTAAAGGGAGCATATATAAAGTGAATAGAAGGTCCAGGTACAGAACTTGTGGAACTCCATCACTAACTGTAGTATTTATGGAAGATTCATCGTTAACATGTACAAACTGAGAACGATCTGATAAGTATGTCCCACTTCAAAATGACATTAAGTTCATCCCAGCAGCAGGAGGAGCTTTAACTGGACTCTGCACATTAATCCTGCAAACTAACACAGCTCCTGTGTCGTCCAGTCAGAACTCCTGTTGTTGCTCTGATACATTTGTGTAACTGTTTTCCTTCAGGTTGCCAACACTACCTGACTTTAACAGAGAGCCACGATGACAGCAGAGGACCTTTTCAAAACTCTAGAGGATTTAAAAGATGAGGAATTCAAGAACTTCAAATGGTATCTAAAGCAGCCCGACATCCTGGAAGGCTACAAACCCATCAAAGAATCCAAGCTGGAAGAGGCAAAAGAAAGGCGGGACACAGTGGACCTGATGGTAAACACCTTTAACCTTGATGGAGCTTTGAAGGTGACCAAGAAGGTTTTCGAGAAGATAAAGAGGAACGATCTGGTGCAGAGTCAAGCAGACACCAGCTCAGGACCAGAAGGTCAGTCACACTTTATTTATTTGTATTTCAGGTAAAAAGAGTAGGTTGACACAACTTGATCCCAGAGCAGCGTGTACAGAAAGCAGCACGGTTGAGTTTTTATCAACTGAGGAATATCACCAAAATGAGATCAGTTCTGTCCTTCAGTAACGCCAGACTCAGAGGAGCAGATTTACCTCAGATTCATCACTCCCGACAATCAAAGGAGAAATCTGGTCCTGGGCCTCGGTCAGTACTGATGTTATGGTCAGAGAATTTGGTAATGTGAGGAGTTCACAGAACCAGTCTTAAACCTCCCGACCTGTTTGCAGAGTCGTTGGGCCGCATGTTAACTTTCAAACTGTCTAAATTAAAATTTTGATTTTATTCAACAGCAAAGTTAGGCCCTGAGAACATCCCTAATGAGTCTGACAGCAGATGTTCATGGCTGGTCCGGTTATCTGGATATATGGAGATAACGATAACTCTGGTTGGTGTCCTACCTCTCATTACACAGCACGTTGCCACGAGGCCACACCTCTTTACAGGGGTTGTCCTGTGCAGTTCTCTGCTACATCTTTTAAATGCTAGGAGGGAGCAAGCTAGCAGAATTTGGGTGTGCAATTACACTTAAGGTCATGTAACAACCAGGAATTATTGTTATATACAGCAAGGACATACAGTTGATAGATAGTGCAGAAACCCTCAGCATGTATAGAATCAGAGGTAGCACCATTCTCTATTAACAAAAGTAAGTTCAGGCTGAGTTGGAGGCAAATTTTTTTTGAGGCAGATAAAGTGAATACAAAGATGAGACAGGATCACCCAGACACACTGACTGCCAACCTTGATGATTTTTGTTTGTGTTTGTTCAGGAAGTCATTCTGGAGTTTGCCAGCAAAAACTTAAATCTAACCTGAAGAAGAGGTTCCAGTGTGTGTTTGAGGGAATTGCTAAAGCAGGAAACCAAACCCTTCTGAACCAGATCTATACAGAGATCTACATCACAGAGGGAGGGACTGCAGAGGTCAATGATGAACATGAGGTCAGACAGATTGAAACAGCATCCTGGAAACCAGACAGACCAGAAAGAACAATCAGACAAGAAGACATCTTTAAACCCTCACCTGGAAGAGATGAACCAATCAGAACAGTGATGACAAAGGGAGTTGCTGGCATTGGGAAAACAGTCTTAACACAGAAGTTCACTCTGGACTGGGCTGAAGGCAAAGCCAACCAGGACATACAGTTCACATTTCCATTCACTTTCAGAGAGCTGAATGTGCTGAAAGAGAAAAAGTACAGCTTGGTGGAACTTGTTCATCACTTCTTTACTGAAACCAAAGAAGCAGGAATCTGCAGGTTTGAAGAGTTCCAGGTTGTGTTCATCTTTGACGGTCTGGATGAGTATCGACTTCCTCTGGACTTCAACAACACTGAGATCCTGACTGATGTTACAGAGTCCACCTCAGTGGATGTGCTGCTGACAAACCTCATCAGGGGGAAACTGCTTCCCTCTGCTCGCCTCTGGATAACCTCACGACCTGCAGCAGCCAATCAGATCCCTCCTGAGTGTGTTGACATGGTGACAGAGGTCAGAGGGTTCACTGACCCACAGAAGGAGGAGTACCTCAGGAAGAGATTTACAGATGAGGAACAGGCCAGCATAATCATCTCCCACATCAAGACCTCACGAAGCCTCCACATCATGTGCCACATCCCAGTCTTCTGCTGGATCACTGCTACAGTTCTGGAGGATGTGTTGAAGACCAGAGAGGGAGGAGAGTTGCCCAAGACCCTGACTGAGATGTTCATCCACTTCCTGTTGGTTGAGTCCAAACAGAAAAACGCCAAGTATGATGGAGGAGCTGAGACAGATCCACACTGGAGTCCAGAGAACAGAAAGATGATTGAGGCTCTGGGGAAACTGGCTTTTGAGCAGCTGCAGAAAGGCAACCTGATCTTCTATGAATCAGACCTGACAGAGTGTGGCATCGATGTCAGAGCAGCCTCAGTGTACTCAGGAGTGTTCACACAGATCTTTAAAGAGGAGAGTGGACTGTACCAGGACAAGGTCTTCTGCTTCGTCCATCTGAGTGTTCAGGAGTTTCTGGCTGCTCTTCATGTCCATCTGACATTCATCAACTCCGGAGTCAATCTGCTGGCAAACCAACTAACAACATTCCTGAAGTCTATATTATTTAAAGACAAACAGAATCTGAAACATCTCCACCAGAGTGCTGTGGACAAGGCCTTACAGAGTCCAAATGGACACCTGGACTTATTCCTCCGCTTCCTCCTGGGTCTTTCCCTGGAGACCAATCAGAATCTCCTACGAGGCCTTCTGACACAGACAGGAAGTAGCTCACAGACCAATCAGGAAACAGTCCAGTACATCAAGAAGAAGATCATTAAGAATCTCTCTGCAGAGAGAAGCATCAATCTGTTCCACTGTCTGAATGAATTGAATGATTGTTCTCTAGTGGAGGAGATCCAACAGTACCTGAGTTCAGGACGTCTCTCCACAGATAAACTGTCTCCTGCTCAGTGGTCAGCTCTGGTCTTCATCTTACTGTCATCAGGAAAAGATCTGGATGTGTTTGACCTGAAGAAATATTCTGGTTCAGAGGAGGCTCTTCTGAGGCTGCTGCCAGTGGTCAAAGCCTCCAACAAAGCTCTGTAAGTACAGAGAGAGTTGGACTTATTATTACTTAAATACTCTACTGTCTGTTTTATTTTTTATTGTATTAATAACACAAATTTTATTCTGTCTGTTGATTATTGTCTCTCCAGACTGAGTCGCTGTAACCTCTCCATGAGAAGTTGTGAAGCACTGTCCTCAGTTCTCAGCTCCCAGTCCTCTAGTCTGAGAGAACTGGACCTGAGTCTCAGCATCCTTAGGGATTCAGGACTGAAACTGCTGTCTGCTGGACTGGAGAGTCCACACTGTAAACTGGAAGCACTCAGGTCAGATCAAATTAGTTTGTCTTCAATCATTTGAAATATGTCTCTAAACTATCACCTCCTTGCAGGGTAAATAGTTTCTCTCATGTCAAAATGTTTGAATCATTAAATTTGGTCATCAGGATTTCAGATTTCATAAGCTGCTTTTCAGCCATTAAGTTTCAGGTACTATTGAACGAGAAGAACTAATGCTAGGAACTAGAGTCTAAAAGTTCCTGCATCAGAAGAACCTCACAGAACAGGCTAATCAGACTCACAATGGATTAAAAAATGAAACAGTTTACACTCTCAGAAAAACAACACTGGATCATCCTGTTGTTCCTAATATTTATGGCCGTCCCCAACTAACGATGTTCTGAGTATGAAATATATATTAAAGTAAATAGGCTTTAAAACTCAAATCATGAAATCGAAACACCACATTTTGACCCCAGGGCTTTGCAGCATAAAATAATGCATCCTACTGTATCAAGTCCATTATTTTTTCAGTTTTACCATTTTCCACCAGATTGAGCCACTGTATAGGGTTTGCCCTATTGGGAATATGTATGTAATTTCCCTGGTTTCCACTAGGGACACTATTGGATATTTTATTAGGCACTGAAGCAGATCTATGCATCAGAAATGCTGTTTGTATGTTGATATGGATGTCGGAGAGTGGTGTGAGTAATGTGTGTGTGTGTGTGTGTGTGTGTGTGTGTGTGTGTGTGTGTGTGTGTGTGCAGGCTAGAGATATGAGATCCCATACAACACTGCAAACTCCCCGTGATATGCGCACATTTTTTGAAAAAAATTTCAACTTGTGCAAAATCGAGAATGGGAATTTTGCTTCGCCAAATTTGTTTCATTCAGGTTGGCCAGCAAAAATTAGAATTTTTGTATTGACTTTGTATCTAATCTACTCACGAGAATAATTTTATTCACCTTGGTGGTAACGCAGCGTTACACACACAACCATAAACCACAACCAACACACCCACTCACACACATAAAATATAATATTATTACAGGCATCTCCTGGTGCATTTCTTTGATGTACAGAAATAAAACTTTCCTATACAGAAGGTTTTTTATATGTGTGATGATGTCTGTAGAAGGCTGACATTATGATGATCCACAATAACTCAATGACAGAGTCACTCAACTTATTTTAGAGGAAAGCTAATTGCTTAGGACATAGTAATTAAAAACCTGAACACATCTGATTGGATTATAAATAATTTCATTCTTCTTTATACAGATTGAGTGAGTGCTGGTTGTCGAAGATCAGCTGTGATTATCTGGTCTCAGCTCTGAAGTCCAACCCCTCCCATCTGAGAGAGCTGGACCTGAGTGACAATAGGGTGCAGGATTCAGGTGTGGAGCTGCTGTGTGGTTTTCTGGAGAGTCCACACTGTAGACTGGAGACTCTGAGGTCAGTTCACTGACTCTCTGTTACTGTTGTAGATCTGATATGTTTCATTAACAATTGAACCTAATTTATGTTCATACATAACTTACATCCATAAAGTTGTACCTTTTGTTCATATTTTCATGTTAGTTGAACTAAGTTTAGTCTGCAGTCACAAGACTTGTGTTTCTTATAGAAACTGTAGAAAATGTCCGCTGTTAGTTGTTAAAGTAAATGAATGTTTATCATTGTTGGTAAATGGTCACATCTGGATACAGAAGATCCTCTGAACTAATATTTGTTTACATTGATCAACTTTACAGAAGGAGAAATATTTCTTTGCTTTATGTTCATTTCAATGTGTTTCCACAAATAATGTCTGATCATTGATATTGATCCTTCACACACACACACACACACACACACACACACACACACACACACAGTGTTTCCCATTCATTAGCCAATCTATGGTGGCCCACCACGGTCTAATTTCCTCCACCATAGTTTCATAATGACCTGAAACTATTTTTACATTTCTCTCTAATATTGTGTTTTCCTCCGTTGCTTCAGCAAAGCGTCTCTCACTCAGTAAAAGTATCTGTGATGGATTAACACACAGAGACAGATGCTCTCTGTGCAGATACAGTCTTTATTTTAACCAGTGCAGACCAGATAAAGCAACAGTGAACAGCAGTTAACGCATCAGCTGGTGCAGATGTCATTGGTTACCACGTTGGTTTCCATTGTTTTCATTGGCTACGTCATTAACAACGAGCTTCCTCCACACGCGGCTCACCTGCTGATGTTAAGATAAAAGTCAACACAATGACAAAGTCACTCTACTCATTTTAAAGAAAAGCTCATTGATTAGGACATAGTAACGTTGATCTCGACATTTAAAACCTGAACACATCTGATTGGATTATAAATTATTTCATCATCATCTTTTATTCTTTATTTAGATTGAGGAACTGCAGGTTGACAGAGATCAGCTGTGATTATCTGGTCTCAGCTCTGAAGTCCAATCCCTCCCATCTGAGAGAGCTGGAGCTGAGTGAAAACTACGTGCAGGATTCAAGAGTGAAGCTGCTGTGTGGTTTTCTGGAGAGTCCACACTGTAGACTGGAGACTCTGAGGTCAGACACCATTTTTTCCTTATGTGCTGAGATGAATCTGATGTGAAAGTTGTGCTGACAGGAAAGTGCAGACATAAGGCTGATATTATACTGATCCACACTGAGTATCTTAATGCTAAAGTCTGTTTTCTTCTTCAGTGGTTTAGTCCATTGACTGTGGCAGAGCAATGTTGAGCTCCACATTTAAAACTTTCATATAACAAGAAGAATCTACACTGGATAATTCAGTCTTGACCAGTGACAATAGGAATAGTAACTGTAGTAATAATAATAATAATAAAAACAATTGGTAATATTAGCAATGGCAGTCAAGCAGGACCATGGTAGGAGGCTTCACCAGGATCCATGAGAACCTGCGAGACGAGAAAGCACAAGAACTCCGGGGAAGAAGTGAAGTTAGTAACATGCATTAATGGAACATGAATGAGTGCAGAAAGAGAAAGAGAGGAAGAAAGGAGCTCAGGGCATCATGGGAAATCCCCCAATTGTCTAGGCGTATAGCAGCATAACTAAGGGTTGGTTCAGGACTCACCTGATCCAGCCCTAACTATAAACTTTATCAAAGAGGAACGTCTTAAGCCTACTCTTGAATGTGGAGAGGGTGTCTGCCTCCCGAACCACAACTGGAAGCTGGTTCCACAGGAGAGGAGCTTGGTAACTGAAGGCTCTGGCTCCTGTTCTACTTTTAGAGACTATAGGAACCACAAGTAGCCCAGCATTCAGAGAACACAGTGCTCTCGTGGGGTAATAGGGTACTATGAGCTCTTTCAGATATGAAGGGGCCTGACCATGAAGAGCTTTATAGGTGAGGAGGAGGATTTGAAATTCTATTCTAAATTTTACAGGGAGCCAGTGCAGAGAAGCTAGTACAGGAGAGATGTGATCTCTTTTTCTAGTTCCTGTCAGTACTCGTGCTGCAGCGTTCTGAATTAATTGGAGCGTCTTAATGGACTTATTGGGGCAACCTGATAATAAGGAGTTGCAGCAATCCAGCCTAGAAGTAACAAATGCATGGATTAGTTTTTCTTCATCCGTCTGTGACAGGATGTTTCTGATGTTTGTAATATTATGTAAATGAAAGAAGGCGGTCCCGGAGGTCTGCTTTATGTGGGAATTAAATGACAAATCCTGATCAAAGATAACTCCAAGATTCCTGACAGTGGTGCTAGAGGCCAAGTTAATGCCATCTAGAGTAACTATATCTTTAGACAGTGAGTCTCTAAGGTTTTTGGGGCCAAGTACAAGAATTTTGTTTTTTTCTGAGTTTAACATCAGAAAATTGCAGGTCATCCAGGATTTTATGTCCTTAAGACATGTTTGTAATTTAGATAACTGATTAATTTCATCTGGCTTGATCGACAGATATAACTGTGTATCATCTGTATAGCAATGAAAGTTAATGGAGTGATTCCTAATAATGTTACCTAAAGGGAGCATATATAAAGTAGTATTGGTCCAAGTCCAGAACCTTGTGGAACTCCATGACTAACTGTAGTATATATGGAAGATTCATCGTTAATGAATAGTTAGTCCATTGTCGGAAGCAATCAAAAGGGTCATTATTAACTTTAACCAGAGCTGTCTTTGTGCTGTGATGAACTCTACATCATGACTAAAAAAAATCCTCAAATAAGCTATTGTTATGTAGAAAGTCACACAACTGTTTGGTGACAAATTTCTCCAGAATCTTAGAGAGGAAGGGGAGATTAGAAATCGGTCTATATTTGGCTAAAACCCCCGGGTCAAGAGTGGGCTCTTTTTTTTTAAAGTTATTTTTTGGGCCTTTTATTGCCTTTATTTTATAGGGACAGCCGAAGATAGACAGGAAAGGGGGTAAGAGAGAGAGGGGATGACACGCAGCAAAGGGCCGCAGGTTGGATTCAAACCCTGGGCCGCTGCGGCAACTCCGTACATGGGTCACCAGCTCTACCGACTGAGTTAACTGGGCACCCAAGAGTGGGCTTTTTAAGAAGGGGTTTAATTACAGCTACTTTAAAGGACTGTGGTATACATCCTGATAATAAAGAAAGATTAATCATATCCAGTAAAGAAGTGCCAATTAAGGTTACAACTTCTTTAAGCAGCCTAGTTGGGATCGGGTCTAATAGACAGGTTGATGGCTTTGTTGAAGAAATTATTGAAGTTAACTGATGAAGATTGATAGCAGAAAAACAGTCTCAATATATATATATGATTTTACATTAGTTAAAGTTCCTGAACTTGGAGAGCCAGTGATACCTGTTGATGGCAGTTGGTGATTCATTTTCTCTCTAATAGTAATAATTTTATTATAAAAGAAGCTCATGAAACCGTTGCTAGTTAGGTTTATGGGGATATGTGGCTCAATAGAGCTGTGGCTCTCTGTCAGCCTGGCTACAGTGCTGAAGAGGAACGTAGGGTTATTCTTATTTTCTTCTATTAGTGCTGAGTAATAGGCTCCTCTGGCATTACGGAGGGCCTTTCTATAGGTTTTAAGATTATCTTGCCAAATTGAGCGATATTCTAATAATTTCAAAGAGCGCCATTTCCTTTCCGATTTCCTAGCTTTTTTCTTTGGCGGTTTTGGTGGTTGTACCATGGTGCTAATCTCCTATGTTTTAATAATTTCCTCTTTATAAGGGCAATAGAATCTAACAGTGATCGTATTGAGCCTGCAGCACTATCAACAAGTTTATTAATTTGGAAGGGACTTAAGTTATTATAGGACTCTGTTATATTCAGACATGGCATTGAATTAAACTGATGGAATCTCCTCCTTAAATTTAGCTACAGCATTGTCAGATAGACATCTGCTGTAGGAAGTTTTGCCTAATGGCTTATAAACTAATAATATGAATTCAAAAGTTATTAAATAATGGTCAGATAGGAAAGGATTTTGTGTACAATAATTACTTTATCTGATTTAAGGACTAAACTTGATAAAAACTCTGAGAATTCAGATATAAAATCAGAGTACGGTCCAGGAGCGCGGTACACTATAACAAACAGAACTGGCTGCAGTGTTTTCCAGTTTGGGTGAGAAAGACTAAGAACAAGGCTTTCAAATGAATTATAATTTAGTTTAGGTTTAGGGTCCATTAAAACGCTCGAATCATATATGGCTGCTACTCCACCTCCTCGGCCAGTGCCTCGAGGAATGTGAGTATTAATATGACTGGGGGGGGTGGATTCATTTAGGCTAACATACTCCTCGTGGGACAACCAGGTCTCAGTAAGACAAAGTAAATCAATATCATAATCTGATATTAATTCATTCACTAAAACAGCTTTAGAGGACAGAGACCTGATATTTAACAGTCCACATTTCATTCTCTTATTTTGTGCTACTGAGGAGTTAGTTTTAATTTTTATTAGGTTTTTTATGTTGAACTCCTCTTGTTTTTATTTCTTTAAATAATTTAGGTGGTCGGGGGACAGACACAGTCTCTATGGGGTTTTGGGTGGGTGACTGTTCTAAAGAAAGAGCAGAGAAGTGTGTAAGACAGCAGCTCTGCTTCCTGGTCCCAACTCTGGACTGTCAGGTTTTAAAACTACACTTTGCCATATTCCTAGATAAGAGAGCCGCTCCATCCAAAGTGGGATGGATGCCGTCTCTCCTAATCAGACCAGGTTTTCCCCAAAAAGGCTTCCAGTTATCAATGAAGCCCACATCGTTTGCTGGACACCACCTCGACAGCCAGCGGTGGAATGACGACATACGGCTATACATGTCATCACTGGTCACATTGGGGAGGGGTCCAGAGAAAACTACGGAGTCCGACATAGTTTTAGCATAATTACACACGGACTCCACATTAATTTCAGTGACCTCCAATTGGCGTAATCGGGTGTCATTACCGCCCACGTGAATAACAATCTTGTTATATTTACGTTTACCTTTAGCCAGCAGTTTTAAATACGATTCGACGTTGCCCACTCTGGCCCCAGGGATACATTTAACTGTTGTCGCCGGCTTCGCTAGATTCAAGTTTCTGACCATTGAGCTGCCAATAACCAGACTGTGTCGCTGAGTGGGGGAAATCTGTTGGACACATGAACCTGTTGGTGGTGAACTATGGGCTTCTTCTGTTTGTGGCTATGGTTCTTCCAAGTAGAAATATTGTAGATGTCTTTTGTTCACATTTCCCCAAAATCCATCCTGACATATTTGGTATCTTTGTAAACTTTAGGATCTTGAGTGGAACCTTCAATCAGTTTCTGTGGGTTTTTCTTTGTGTTTGGCTGCACAACATGAGTTTGTATAGATGGAGCTGGCAGAGGTTAAGAGCTGAAGTCACTACGTCTTTATTGAAGCAGCAGCACGTTGTCATTAATATTAATGAGAGCTCTTTTTCACTCTTTGTATTTTACAGTTTGCAACCTGCATCCTGTTGGGTTCAGGTGTTTGGAGTTTCCATTTTCTAAACTTGTACATTCTAAACCTTCTTCAGCTCTGAACAGATTATTAAACACTGAATGATTTCAAGCAGGAACATTGTCTTCTAAACTCACATCTTTTATTCTTTATTCAGATTTAGTTGCTGCGGTTTGTCAGAGATCAGCTGTGATTATCTGGTCTCAGCTCTGAAGTCCAACCCCTCCCATCTGAGAGAGCTGAACCTGAGTCTCAACAAGCTGCAGGATTCAGGAGTGAAGCTGCTGTGTGGTTTTCTGGAGAGTCCACACTGTAGACTGGAGACTCTGAGGTCAGTTCACTGACTCTCTGTTACTGTTGTAGATCTGATATGTTTAATTAACAATTGAACCTAATTTATGTTCATACATAACTTACATCCATAAAGTTGTACCTTTTGTTCATATTTTCATGTTAGTTGAACTAAGTTTAGTCTGCAGTCACAAAGACTTGTGTTTCTTATAGAAACTGTAGAAAATGTCCGCTGTTAGATGTTGAAGTAAATGAATGTTTATCATTGTTGGTAAATGGTCACATCTGGATACAGAAGATCCTCTGAACTCATATTTATTTAAATTGATCAACTTTACTGAAGGAGAAATATTTCTTTGCTTTCTGTTCATTTCAATGTGTTTCCACAAATAATGTCTGATCATGGATATTGATCCTTCACACACACACACACACACACACACACACACACACACACACACACACATACACATACACACACACACACACACACACACACACACACACACACACACACACACACAGCTCTATTAAGGAGCAAGTATCGATCCTCTGATTCCAGACCTGATTGAGATCAGCAGCATGTTATTGATCAGTGTTGACATCAATAGGTTTATGAATGTTGTGCTGACATTTGCATGATGTCTGTAGAAGGCTGACATTATGATGATCCACAATAACACAATGACAAAGTCACTCTACTCATTTTAAAGAAAAGCTCATTGATTAGGACATAGTAATGTTGATCTCCATGTTTAAAACCTGAACACATCTGATTGGATTATAAATGATTTTATCTTCATCTTTTATTCTTTATTCAGTTTGAGTGACTGCAGTTTGTCAGAGATCAGCTGTGATTATCTGGTCTCAGCTCTGAAGTCCAACCCCTCCCATCTGAGAAACCTGAACCTGAGTGGAAACAAGAACCTGCAGGATTCAGGAGTGAAGCTGCTGTGTGGTTTTCTGGAGAGTCCACACTGTAGACTGGAGACTCTGAGGTCAGACACTATTTGTTCCTTCTGTGCTGAGATTAATCTGATGTGAAAGTTGTGCTGACAGTGAAGTGCAGACATAAGGCTGATATTATACTGATCCACACTGAGTATCTTAATGCTAAAGTCTGTTTTCTTCTTCAGTGGTTTAGTCCATTGACTGTGGCAGAGCAATGTTGAGCTCCACATTTAAAACCTTCATATAACAAGAAGAATCTACACTGAATAATTCACTCTTTATTTCCATCTTATATTCCCCATCATGTGTTTTAAAAGAAATGATGACAATAAATACAATGAATAAATCAATAATCTCTATTTCAACTATCAGACAATAACAAATAGATTCACTTTTTGCTTTTTCCAACATTGTTATGAAGCTATGTGATGCTTATACTGACTGAATAGTTTTAAGTGAAGCTGATTTGATTTTATGACTCCACTATTCCTAAAAGAAATATCTTAGATGTCTTTTGTTCACGTACATACATACATCTTCATGCGCTTATCCGGGGTCGGGTTGCGGGGGTAGCAAGTTCAGCAGAGGACCCCAAACTTCCCTTTCCCTGGCCACATCGGCCAACTCTGACTGGGGGATCCCGAGGCGTTCCCAGGCCAGTGTTGAGATATAATCCCTCCACCTGGTCCTCGGTCTGCCCCGTGGCCTCCTCCCAGCTGGATGTGCCAGGAACACCTCCCTCAGGAGGCGCACTGGAGGCATCCTCACCAGATACCCGAACCATTTAAGCTGGCTCCTTTCGACGCAAAGGAGAAGCGGCTCTACTCCGAGTCCCTCGCGGATGTCCGAGCTTCTCACCCTATCCCTAAGGGAGACGTCGGCCACCCTCCTGAGGAAACCCATTTCGGCCGCTTGTACCCGTTTTTTGTTCACATTTCTCCAAAATCCATCCTGACATATTTGGTATCTTTGTAAACTTTGGGATCTTGAGTGGAACCTTCAATCAGTTTCTGTGGGTGTTTCTTTGTGTTTGGCTGCACAACATGAGTTTTTATAGATGGAGCCACTGGTGGAGCTGGCAGAGGTTAAGAGCTGAAGTCACTACGTCTTTATTGAAGCAGCAGAACGTTGTCATTAATATTAATGAGAGCTCTGTTTCACTCTTTGTATTTTACAGTTTGCAACCTGCATCCTGTTGGGTTCAGGTGTTTGGAGTTTCCATTTTCTAAACTTGTACATTCTAAACCTTCTTCAGCTCTGAACAGATTATTAAACACTGAATGATTTCAAGCAGGAACATTGTCTTCTAAACTCACGTCTTTTATTCCTTTTTCAGATTGTGGAATTGCTGGTTGTCCGAGATCAGCTGTGATTATCTGGTCTCAGCTCTGAAGTCCAACCCCTCCCATCTGAGAGCGCTGGGCCTGAGTGACAACAAGAGCCTGCAGGATTCAGGAGTGAAGCTGCTGTGTGGTTTTCTGGAGAGTCCACACTGTAGACTGGAGACTCTGGGGTCAGTTCACTGACTCTCTGTTACTGTTGTAGATCTGATATGTTTCATTAACAATTGAACCTAATTTATGTTCATACATAACTTACATCCATAAAGTTGTACATTTCCTTTTGTTCATATTTTCATGTTTGTTGAACTAAATTTAGTCTGCAGTCACAAAGACTTGTGTTTCTGAACTAATATTTATTCACATTGATCAACTTTACTGAAGGAGAAATACTTCTATGCTTTCTGTTCATTTCAATTTGTATCCACAAATAATGTCTGATCATTGATATTGATCCTTCACACACACAGCTCTATAAAAGGATCAATAAAGTATCATTGATTAGGACATAGTAATGTTGAACACATCTGATTGGATTATAAATGATTTCATCTTCATTATTTGTTCTTTATTCAGACTGAGGAACTGCAGTTTGTCAGAGATCAGCTGTGATTATCTGGTCTCAGCTCTGAAGTCCAACCCCTCCCATCTGAGAAAGCTGGAGCTGAGTTGGAACTACAAGCTGCAGGATTCAGGAGTGAAGCTGCTGTGTGGTTTTCTGGAGAGTCCACACTGTAGACTGGAGACTCTGAGGTCAGACACCATTTGTTCCTTCTGTGCTGAGATGAATGTGATGTGAAAGTTGTGCTGACAGTAAAGTGCAGACATAAGGCTGATATTATACTGATCCACACTGAGTATCTTAATGCTAAAGTCTGTTTTCTTCTTCAGTGGTTTAGTCCATTGACTGTAGCAGAGCAATGTTGAGCTCCACATTTAAGACCTTCATATAACAAGAAGAATCTACACTGAATAATTCACTCTTTATTTCCATCTTATATTCCCCACCATGTGTTTTAAAAGAAATTATGACAATAAATACAATGAATAAATCAATAATCTCTATTTCAACTATCAGACAATAAATAGATTCACTTTTTGCTTTTTCCAACATTTGTCTGTTTGTTCACATTTCCCCAAAATTCATCCTTTTTTAAATAATCTTTTATTTACATCGATGATTGACATCAAACTGAATCCACATACAAACAACATAAAGGAAAACAAAACATGAGACAATGTGACATGTCATTGGTTACCACATTGGTTTCCATCGTTTTGATTGGCTACGTCATTAACAACGAGCCTCCTCCACAGGCGGCTCACCTGCTGATGTAAAAACAGAATCGCAGGTGGAAAAATGTGACAAAGACAAAAGTCAACACAATGACAAAGTCACTCTACTCATTTTAGAGAAAAGCTCATTGATTAGGACATAGTAATGTTGATCTCCACATTTAAAACCTGAACACATCTGACTGGATTATAAATGATTTTATCTTCATCTTTTATTCTTTATTTAGATTGATAAGCTGCAGGTTGTCAGAGATCAGCTGTGATTATCTGGTCTCAGCTCTGAAGTCCAACCCCTCCCATCTGAGAGAGCTGGACCTGAGTGTCAACGAGCTGCAGGGTTCAGAAGTGAAGCTGCTGTCTGATCTTGTGGAGAGTCCACACTGTAGACTGGAGACTGTGAGGTCAGTAGAGGGTCTGAGTCAGTCCATGGTGGTTCCAGCAGTAATGGACTAAACACAGATCCAGTACTTCTTTACTCAGTGAAGCTGTGAGAGGAGAATGGGGACAGACAATCATCTTGTTCTGTCCAAATATTTCTAATATTTACACATTTGTCCTGTAAGATTTCAGATGAAACATTCAACTGTGGTTTTTATCAGCTTTGAACCCTAACAGCAGTAAATGCATCATTCCAGTGGGCAGTGAATGTCTCTCTGTCTCTGCAGTAATGATGCATTCAGGGACTCTCAGCACTTTATTTCCACTGTGTACTTCAGTGAAATCTGCAGAGTCAACAGACTTGATGTCCAAAGTGTCTGCAGGTCTGTGAGCTTCAGCTCAGTATGTTCATTCCAATACGTTAACATGAGAGCTGAAAGGAAGCAGGCTACACTACACAGCCGCTCCACTGCTGGTCTGAACTGGACTGAAGTCCCTGCTGCTCTTTATACTGGATGTGCTGATGGAGGGAGTCTCTGTAAACACTGATTTACGACTTCTGTTGTCTGTCTTCTTCTCTCCTCAGATGGAAGTGATCTCAGTCAGAGTGTGAGTGGTGAGGAAGGAGGTTGTGTTGGAGGATCAGCTGTGTCCTGATGATCCAGAGAGGTTGAAGCAGCAGCATCAGCTCTGACTGGGCAATGTTACTGGGAGGTAGAGTGGAGAGGAGAGCTTCATCCAGCAGTGACTGACAGAGGAATCACAACCAGTGGAGACGACTCTCAGTGCTGCAGTCTGAACTACCAAAAAGGGGGCGACGTCATTCTGAAGACAGAAAGTTCAATTTCAATTCAATTTTAATTGTATAGCGCCAATTCATAACAGAAGTTATCTCAGGACTCCTTATAACATTTACAGAGAGCCAACAGTACCACCATGAGCAAGCACTTGGCGACAGGGGCAAGGAAAAACTGCCTGTTAAGAGGCAGAAACCTAGGACAGACCCTTCGGCTCTAGGTGGGTGGTCGTCTGCCTCGACCAGTTGGGGTGAGAGAGAGAGAGACAGAGACAGAGAGACAGAGACAGACAGACAGACAGTTGCACAGCAACAACAGTAGCAACAACTACACTAATGGTAGTGACTGATGATGATGATCATGAAGAAGATGATGACAGCAACAGTGGGGGACTATGCTTCAATAACAGTTGGGCACTCAGAACCTCGGTCAGCTATCCTTTCTGTACAATGTCGTTGTTACGTCAAAGATTTTTGGGGATGAAAAATGTAAGACAAAAGATGTTTGTGGGAGAAAATTGGTGGCATAAAGTATAAAAACAGACCGCTGCATATTGAGACCACAAAAGCTTTTATAATGAACATTATGCAATGACAAACAATAAAAGAGGAAACTGCAACTTTAATGTTTTCTCAGAGTTGGCTGTGCCCTGTAAACAACAACGATTTCTCAAACTGTGGCTTCACAACTAAATTCACATTTCAGAACAACTAAAGCTAAAATGCTACACAATAAAACAACTTTCACAGACATTCAACATAATTCCTCAGTGTTATTTTCTACGGAAGGTCAGTGACGTCCTGGTTGATAATTATTTAATTATTGTCATTATCTCAACATCAGGTCAGCGGTTGTGGTGATTTTTTATCAATATTTGAGATAACAAAGATATCAAGGTATCAAACTGCCGCCTCAGAAGCGTAATGATTATAATTATTGTAAGAATATATTTTCTATTATGTATGACTCAAAAAGTCAAAGGTTGTTGCAGGATGAGGCTGTTTATCAGAGAGTCGAGGCTTTGTCAATATACATATCTAGATCTGAAATTACTCTGAAAAGTAACATTTTAATTTAGTTTTCTTTACAGAAATTAATGAACGACTGCTTTTTATAAATCAGTCAGGTTGGGTCACCTCCCACACTTTCCCGGTCAGAAGTCAAGACTGGCCTTTTTTCCACTTTTCTTAGCCGATGGCTGATCCTTCTGAAATGGAAAGATATCTTTCCAACCAGCAGGTTCATGACTTACTGTTCTTTAGTTTTTAGACAAATGTTTTTTTCTCTAATTTAATTAAAAAATTTACAAATTATGGAACCCTTTTTTGGACACATTAGAGAGAACATCCAGCTGCCCACTAGACTGTACACTATATAAATGGTCCTTTACACCCCTTTACCTACTGTGGGGTGTTATCACCAGCTATACATAAAATAAAATAAAATTTTAACCACTATTTCTTGGTCTAGTCTGTACACAGTTATTAGGTTATTAGACTTTTATTCATTTTTGTCCTTTTTCTTTGCCTTATGCCTTATTTCTTTTTTTGTAAAGCAATTTTAACAATATGTTTGTGCTGTCACTGTTTATCTTTTTTTGTTATGTTAAAAAACAATTAAAAAAAGTTTGATTTCTATCTTGTTTTCCATTATTTGACCTTTGTCTGCTGTTGTCACCTCCTTGTCCATCTCCAACTAATCAACTCATATAAACAAACATCTTTTCTTTTTACTTTTTTTTGAGAAATTATTATTGCGCTGTGAACAACAGGATGAATATGATTGAATTGATGCTATTTGTTTCTATGGATTCTTTCACATTTGAGTGGGAAAAAAGTCTCCAAAATGCAAAAAAGCTTTCGTTGTAATAACACTTTTTTAAGATGTGCAGCAACGAACATTTTGAGATAAAAATGCCCTTAAGAACCTGAAGAATAATCAACCAGTGTCTCAGCTTCCGTACAGTTCCTCTAACAGCAGTGTAACAAGAAGTAATAGTTCGGACAGTCAGAGTTTGGCTCATTCTTGTCAAGTAAAAGCAGAATAAAAAACTTTTTACACCAAATCATCAATGTGGGTACATATGTAAAACAAGAAATCTAAGCTTAACTTTTTTCAATTTCAATTCAAATAACGACTGAAGATTTAGTGAATTTACCACGTGAACCCAAATGTTAATCTTTACACCGTTATTTCCACAGATAGAGAAATGAAGATACTCCGTTCTCAGTTTGATGTGAGTGTGCAATATCAACTGTCACCGTTTGGATCTCACGAATGTTGAATTAAATGATTTCCTGTTGAAAAAGGAAGACTATGATTGACTACTAAAAATGTCAGGTAATAAATCTCTATTTATCTAAATCACTGAACAATCAGTGGTGATAGATAATTAACCAAAAAACATAGCAGGTAAACCAAAATGTTGTTACTTAAGTCAAAACTAGTTTGTTTATTATTTTACTAATGAAACGATTTAAGTACAATGCCTCACCTTTATAACAAACCAAATTTCATGAAAATGGGTTTAGAATTAAGCGAGTTACAGTCGATATCTTAGTACAGTCTGCATTTCTCAGTATTGTTAACTGACAGATCTTGACCCCAAAATAGCAACCGTGCAGACTTACACCAGCATCAAATGAAGTATCTACATTTCTGTATCTCTGATTATCCCACGATTAGTTCACCTGTCTGACAGAAACACTGTTTATCTCTCCAAAAAGAAACTCCACTCCTCCTTCTATGTACACAATAAACCACAAACTCCGGCTGTTGCAGTGTATCAGCCACAAGAAATCCAAATAAAACAAAACCAATCTAAACAGAAACTTTCAAAATGTCTGCAGCATGACATAAAAAATGTTTCCACTTCAGTTCTCTCATCTAACAGCAGACTGCACTGAAGAGATGAGGAGTCTTTGAGAATCTGCGCTATGGCATAAAAACTGTGACATCTGATGTAGAACCGAACGCTTTATATAACTGCTAACAATATTCTTCTTTGAAGTTTTTATGAACACGACTATTCTTCAATTGAATCGCTGTGGCTTCAATTTAGCACTTTTTATGGACTAAAGTTTTAAATCAAGAGCTTCGGACTTTAGAAGATCAAGTATGAAAGATTTCCTAAGCAGAGGCATTCGATGGAAATAGATGAGTTTGAAGTTTAGGATCGGCAGCATATTGCTCTTTTTGTGATTTAACAGAATAACGTGATATGTTGTCATAACTAGGGCTATGAATTGTCAAAAATCTGGTGCATGGCCATACAAAGGTAATGGTTCAATATATTGCAATACTGTAAGCAAACAGATATATTGCGATGTTTGCAAAAATAGTTGTTATAGTAGTGTTATAGTGTAAAGAACACACCATCATCTGCATAAAATCTGAGTAGAGAAAGGTTTACGCAGGGATCTGGATTTGTACTTATCGTTGTCCCATCTAACATGATAGTCCTCGGTTTACAACACTGTGATCTAGCTTTCAGAGCTTTAAATCGATTGTGTTCCTGAGAATCAATATCACCAAACAAAATGTCATAATTTTTCAATACACCCCTAGTTATAACACAAAAAGTGTTACACTAAAAACGAATCATTTAATAGATCTAATGACCAGAATAAATTGTAACACTCCTATTTAGCATTTACAAACACAACATGGTTTATAACACACTGTAATGTACCTGTTAGCAGATCTAAGTTTTTACAAATGTATTTGTTAACAACTATAACTCCCAATGAGTATTTTAAAACACAGCTGTAATACTTGTTGACAAGTACAGTAAAATTAATATACACTTAAAATTATCCTTATGTCTGCTCATTACTACATTATAATGTGCTAAATGAAAATCACCTATAAATGCTGAATAAATAAATAAAGTGTTGTCCTTGGACATGAGCTGCAGAGCTTTCACACCAGCAGCTGGGGGCGCCACTGTGCTGGATAAAGCCAGATGCAGCTGCAGATCCATAATGTGCTCCTTAATACTGTTCCCTCGCAACCTTTATCAAGACTACATGAAGCAATACAGATCGTGTAACTTGTAACTTTTTCCGAAAATTCTCCAGTTTTATTCTTTGGTAAACCCACTTCGCTTCTGCACTTTTTAAACTTCTGTGCTTGATTGCTAATGTCAGTTTATGAATTTCCAAAACATTTCCTAATTTCTTTAGCATCGACAAACAAACTCATGCAAAGGAAAGATGGAAGTGGGTCAATGTGCCTCTCATAGACTATAATTAAAAATAGACAAAGACTGTGAGTCTTTGAAGAGCCACTGTGAAGCTCAGTGTGGTCGGCTCTGGCCATCGCCATCTTGGCAGTTAAGACTCCACCGGCTCCCGGCTAATCCAAAAACGGGGCAAAGATGCTAATTATGCTAATTATACTATGAGCGTGGTTATTGAAAACAGCCACCTGTGATGGCAACCACCTGTCAATTTTAAGCCTTAACATAATTTAAAGGGATGAGTTATCAAAAAATCACCCCTTGTACAGTTGTCATTAACGGGGAAATTAGCTAAAGAGACCAAAAAAGTGTTTTCTTGCATCAGGCTGGAAACATGTTTATTTCTGCTATAAAGTTGAGTTCTAATATGTTACTTCAGTGTTCATTTGCTCCCGCAGAGTTTGCCGCTTGGTACCTCTTGGATTTTGAATCCGTCATGCAGCAGTGTCTTTCCCAATAATAATAATATTAGTAATATTTCTGTTTGTTTGTTTGAGACATCAAACAAGTTAATGAAGCCATTTAAAAGTTCAACAAAACATCCCGTTTGTGAGTTTAAATCCCTGGGAAAATCCTGGTTCTCCTTCTCAGTGACTGCTGTCTGGCTGCCGTTAAGCAACACTCAGCGTGCAGGTTGTCAGCATTTCCTGGACAAATGTACAATAAAACAGCTAACTTAAATACTGTCAGCAGCCTAGATCAAAGTAGGCGATATTTTAGTTCCAAAGAAACTCAGTTTGAAGTGCGTGAATGTAACTGCGTCCTAGCGGACAGGGGCGTGCAGTGCAGCACCCAGACCCAGGTACTCGAGGTTCTCCGCTGCCGGGAGAAACAGGCCATTCCCCGTTAATGAGATGGTGTTGGGCGTGGCCTGCGGCTGGAAGTTAGCCTGGTAGTCCGGGTTGTCCAGGCTGTCGCTCGTGGCCAGGGGGAGTGAGCTTCGGGCGGTGTTCAGGTATTCAGGTCCCTCAGGAACTCGGACGAAAGGCTTCAGATCATCCGGCGGGAACGGGAGCGAGGCAGCACCCCAGCCCAGGGTCAGGTCCTCGTAGTTGGGATTCAAAACCTCCGACAGCCTGCTGCTGCGGCTGGTTTCACTCAAACTCTGGTTCATGTACTCTGAAAGAAACAAAAACAATATTAATTTACTTACAGAGCACCATGGGAGCCCTGAAAAGCAAGTGAAATTTTTTTTCCCTCTCATTATATTTTTTTTAAAATAAAAAAATAATAATCTTATTTGAAACCAGGAGAAAAACAGTTTTTTGGATGATAATTTTTCAAGAACTTCAATTATTTATTTTGAGTCTAAATGTTTGTTGGTTAATTCACCTATTGGATGAACCATTTATTGTTATTATTTAACTATTAGTTTTTTTAAACATTTATTTATTTATTATAATATGTTATTTTTGTATTTTACTCATTCATCTTCAGTAAGGTTCTTAATCATTTTGTTCTTAATTTTAAAAACACTTTGTCAATCATCCGCATGTACCATGGCCTGTGAAGTCTTCTTTATCCAGTGAGTTCTGAGTGGGATCAGTGATGTAACGTAACGCGATGCTGTTCTCTCTGACTGGACGCCCATTCTGAGATGAAGAAGAAAAGCAGTCAAATGTGTTTGTACATACTGAATGTTTATATTGTAAATATAACACAAAAAGAAAAGTTGTGTAAAATGTAAAATATGTTGGTTTCAGGTCACTGTCTACTTCTGCATTACATTTTTATTTCTTGTACTTTTTATCTGTGGTTTTTAATCTCAATCTACAGCAAAACAACTGAGAGAGAACAAGTGGCCAGAAAAATCAGTTATTGCAGTTCCTGTTTCAAACAAAGTGAATAGTCGACTCGCCAGCGACATGAACAAAGAAATGTTTAGTGTTAGAAATATACAGTAAGGGTCTCTAGCATTTCGAAACTGCCAGATACTAACTGTTGGGCAATTAGCATAATTAGCATTAATAAGCAAAATGACCAAATATCAGCCCACTGGGTTTTGAAATATGGGTACTTCTGGATTAAACGGCAATTTTGTATTTCAGCACTCCTAATTATTATAATAATTATATTGTCCTTATATGCTATATGCTAATTAATGCTAGTTATGCTAATTGTCCAACATATGCAAACCAGCATCTGGCAGTTTTTAAATGTTGGGGACCCATAATATAGACTTCTAACATGAAACATTGGGGTACTCAACATGTCTGGGTTTACTATGGGGAAATACTGGCTGCAAATAGACTGTGAAAGAGGTGTCTGTATACCGTGGCATTGCAGGGACGGTTGTCATGGTTACCCAGTCCTTTGTAAGGTAGCAGGTATTCGTCCGCATCGACCACATCCTCCATGTCATCTGAGCTGAGCAGGCGGGAGTAAAACCTGCTGTCTGTCGGACTGGGGAGGTCGCCCTGAGACAGGAGGCAGATCAATTCGAAATTTTACGGTAAACAAGTAACATGCAAATATATATATATATATATATATATATATATATATATATATATATATATATATATAAGATGTGATATTATATAATAATGCCAATAAAATAACAAACAGAAAAAAGTGCAAAAGACCTTACGTACAATGTTATAGTTAGATAAATAAAAAAAACTATCAAAATAAGACCAAAGTTGTGATAAACTAAAAATGTTCACAGAATCAGTCACTCTCTTTCCCACACACACTGTGTACCTGTATGACCAGGTATCTGGATGGATCTCTGGCCATTTTTGAGAACTCTGCTATCAGCTCTCTGAACCTGGGACGACTGGACGGGTCGATCATCCAACCTGGAGAGAGAGCAAACATTTCCTCAGCTGGACACCCAGGTGTTATTATCTAGGTGTCTGACTGTTATTGTCCAGGTGTCTGTTATTGTCCAGGTGTCTGTTATTGTCCAGGTGCACCCACTAGCACCATGGGTTGGCGATGTCAGTTGATTCATACTTTCAGACTGTAATATCTCAACAACTATTGGATGGATTGTGATAAAATGTGATTCAGGATGAACAACTATGATCGTCTGACTTCATCTGGTGCCATCATCAGATCAACATTTTATCCAATATTTGAACAAATACCTGCAAAAATAATCACACACTGGTTTACTTTGTGTTTAGTGATAATAAGTCAATGCTAGCATCCTAACTCACTAAACTAAGATAGATAACATGGGTATAATACCATTATACCTGCTAACATTTGCATTTAGCTACTAACATCAACCTAAACACACAAAGGTGCAAGCATGACTGCAGATTCTTGCTTCTTGTTGTGTATTGTGTCGTGTCCATGGCTCTTACATTTGACCATAATCATGTAGACATCGATGGTGCAGATGGGGGGTTGGGGTAGCCGCTCTCCTCTCTCCAGAACCGAGGCGATCTCACTGGCCGGGATGCCGTCGTATGGTTTGGAGCCAAACGTCATCAGCTCCCACACTGTCACACCTGCAGACCACAGAGCACTAAAACTGACTCACTGGTTCGTACAGTTGTATCAACACATGTCCAAAGAAAGAAAACTGCCATCAGAAGAGAAGGCTTACGTTGGAAGAATTCTGTCTGTTTGACCTATTTAATAGAACAATGTTTAATCTTCTAGACACAAAATGTGATGCTTTTACACAGCTGAGGTGAAGTTGTGTCAAAATCATTATTGTTATTGGGGGAAAAAGCTCTCTAGTTTGTTTGTTCTTCAAAACAATCATAATCGTCTTGCATTCTTTCTAATGGCCAGCAGGGGGCAACTCCATGGGATGCAATAAGAAGTTTGATAGTATTGCATCTTAGGGATAAATTAATTGACTTCCGACTTGATTTATTAGCTCAGTAAACAGTTTCCTAATGAGTTCATGGTCTCAAGTCATCTTCCATACAGCATGATAGTCATGCAGTGTATGACGTCCTTTGTCTGCCCAACAGCGTGGGAGAAGCAGTGATTTTTTTAAGGTGGAACTGCTTTATTCTGTGTTTTTAGCGGCTTTAAAAACACTGAAGGAATCCTAACCGGAAGAAGCTGACTGCAATGACGCAATGGTGGTGAAGACAACAACTCCCATGATCCCACGCTGCTTCACCACCTCATCAAGCTTTGTCTTTTGTTTGGATGTGAGAGACCCCCTAGTGGCAGAAATCATATAATTGAATGTTTAAAGCTTCAGTTCTGACCACTGACCATTAGACAAAATAGGAAAGCTCCAGCAGCTGATGGTGATGCATTTAGGCGTCAATATGAGTAGAAAGTAAAAAAGACTTCTTGATTTCTCACCACGTAAATATTCATAGAATATTTACAACACCTCTGGACACAGTGAGAGCAGGTGTGTCTACAGGTTTTCTTAAACCAAACGTGACTTCAGGGCCATGTGCAGGCCACAAAGACAGAGGTTTTACTCACCATAGCTCCAGACATCACTCTGATGTGTGTAAGTCCACTGAAGGATGGACTCTAATGCCATCCACTTAATGGGAACCTACAGAGAACAGAGAAGGACAGACATACACTGACTTTTGAAGACAATGAAAGTCATGATTTAGAACCACTATGATATATGTAGTTAGAAGAACCATCAGAGAATTTCAGTACACGTTAATTTCTCCTATTAAGTCTCCTCAGTGTGAACGGAAGATATTCAGGCAACAGCTACTATTCAGGTGGAGCTCTTGAGTCGAACACACCTTTCCTCCATCAGCATGGTACTCCTTCTCGTCAGCCGTCAGCAGCTTGGCCAGGCCAAAGTCAGTGATCTTGACATGGTTAGGAGTTTTCACCAGGACGTTCCTCGCTGCCAGGTCTCGATGTACCAGGTGACGTTCCTCCAGGTAGTTCATCCCCTGCAGAAACACATTCAGGCCAGGCTTGGCAGTGTGTGTGTGTGTGTGTGTGTGTGTGTGTGTGTGTGTGTGTGTGTGTGTGTGTGTGTGTGTGTGTTCCTACATTTAGATTTGCACCGTAGATTGGCTATCAGAGTTAATCTGTATTGTTGCCTGCTCCACCAACAGTTCACCTCTTCAGACACCTATGAGGGATGTCACGGAGACTACGGCCATTTTTATTTATACAGTCTATGGTTAGCAACCAACACTGTGAGGAAGCTGTGCTGCTGCTATTGTTTGTAGTTAAAAGAACTTGATTGCATGACGTGTTCAAAGAGTGGATGGCGTGAAAAGTCAGCTGTCATAAAGACGTGAATTTCTTTTACAACATTTTAGACAGTTTTGGAAAATTACACAGAAACTCCTCTAATCCAACATTGGAAAGGTGTGTTGGGGGGCTTCTGAAGCTGTTTGACCGTCTCACGAGTGGTTCTGACGGAGAAACTTAATGCTGCAAACAAAATAAAGATTTATACTGAGCTCATGACCTTGTTTGTGATTTTCCCAGCACTTTATGATCCAAGTGAGACTTAAAACATAGGCTGAATAGATTAACGCTTCCTCAACACATACACGCACATACACACAGTTTCCTGCTGTGTTCAGGCTAATAGGCCTCAGCAGGCTTAAAATGTACTGCAGACAGAGTTGATGCCTCAGGCAGAGAGTGGAAACCGAGACAGGAGCTTGTGAGCAGAGAGTTGCTGCTTTGTGGTAAGATGTAAGATACTTGGATCACACTTTGTGATAGAACCAATTCATATCGCTCACCTTGGCGATCTGGACACACCAGTTCAGCAGCCACTGAGCACCAACGTGGTCCCTGTGGTGTCGGACATAGTCCAGCAAGCAGCCGTACTGCATCAGCTGAGTCACCAGCTGGACCGACGATGTCAGGCAGATCCCCAGCAGACGACACACATGAGGATGATCCACGCTCGCCATCACATACGCCTCCTACACACATATACACACACAAACACACACAGACAGACAAAGGTACAAGTTTGTTACCTGTTTTTGAGGACAGTGGAGGAAGAGACTAAATGAGGTTGTTCAAAATAATTCTCGGACACCTCTGAATTTTGCTGTTTGTTTTCTGTGTTGAAAAAATCGTCTTTATGCTATCTTTGTCGGTTTTGTATGCAATTATTACTTTATTTCTTATTACATCCTATTTTGTGACATCACTGGATACCGGAGGTTGTGCTAATTTTGGGGATATAAAACACAGCAAAAACCCAAACAATGGTATAGCTGAACAATTGAAGCATTCACACTTATCAATAATCAAAATAAATACTGAAGATAAGATAACAATGTGTGACTGCTTGCAGATTATTATTAGAAATAAAGTTAATATTAATAATATCATTATCGAATCAAATCGATAGCACTGACCTATACCCCGTATCTACAGCACAGAGCTCTGTCTAGTATCCAACTTGACCTCTGTAGTTTTATTGTCAAATAGAAAATTTGTGTCAAAATTAGGGAAACCAAATTAATATTAATAATATATTATTATTATTATTATTGTTGCTATTATATTTATCAAATAGACAGTACAGAACTCTGACCTGCATCTACAGCACTTACTAATGTCCTAAATCTGTCCTCTATAACTTAAATTAACTCAGTGTCAAATAAGTGGACTGTTACACAAACAAATAACAAGTACACACTTGCAATGTGGCTTTTTGTACAACATTCCCAATTTTAGTTACAATCCAAATGTAATTATTATGGCCCGTTAAGTGAATCAGGTTGCGCCTTCAAAAGTTTGGTAACCAATTACAGACAAATGATTGTGATTGTGAAAAGTGATACCCAAAAACAAACCTCATCAGCTTAATCTAAATATACTATTTACTGGGTTTTGAAGAAAAATGTTTTTAAGGCGTGAGTGGGTGAGACCCACATCAGTAAAATTGGCATCATACAAGGAACCCAGTGTACATTAAGGTTTCTTCTACTCCTTTACGGTCCATGAGTTATTAGCAAAAACTTAAAAGGCTTAATAACTGACATGTTATCTATACATGGTGGCGCCATTGTTCTAAAGAAAGTCACACACCATTTTGCTGGTGTCAGGTATATTGTCAAATATTTTGGTGATTTTTGATCAAACATTAGACAAAATATAAAATATTGTGCGTCCAATTATATAATTATAGTAAGACCTTTATAGTCACTGCAGACTAATCATTTGATCCGAACAGAGTTAGATATGTGATGTCTACTATCTAAATAATGTCTGTGTGGATTGTGGTAGCATTTGAATGCACCACCACCAATGAACATATTTTGAAAAATAAAGTGATGGACTTATGTTGCAGTGAGGAAAACCTATCACAATGTCACAAATTGTCACAATTCAGTGGATGTGCTAAAAAAGTTTCAGCTCTGTAAACTCTGTTTAGACTTCAGAATATTAGCATTTTGGAATGTGCAAAAAGAGGCCAAAAATGTCAAACCCTAACCAACCAAAAGTCGGTGCTATTGAATTCATGCTTTAATGTTTAGCACATCTCCATGGGGCACCTGTGTACCAGGTTTGATGACTTTAGCATGTCTAGCATCTGGAATTTTTATGACTATATGCGACTTCCATTGACGGGCCATTAAAAGAGAATTACAGTAAAATATTCATATCTCAATAACTGTGACATATATCAAAAATAAAAGTAATCACCAGAATGACACTAATAGTCTTTAAATTTGAACATCTGAATTATGTGTCTACATGTGTGAGTTATAACGGACAAAAAAACGTACAAAAGATGAAAAAGAATAATAAGCAAAATAAAGACTAAAAATTGTGTGCAGCAATCACACAATGGGAATAAGAAGAAGAGGAGAGGAACAAGAAAATAAGAAAAGAACAGGAACTAGAAGAATTGAAGAATTGAAGAAGAAGAAGAAGAAGAAGAAGAAGAAGAAGAAGAAGAGGAGGAGTCTTACATCCAGGATTTCTTTGTTAGCTTTAGGTGATGTAGCCTCTCGGAGAACTTTGATGGCCACTGGAATCCTCACATCCTCTCCTTCTGGGATCCATAGACCCTAATAATATTCATCACAGTCAACTTTACATATGTAAAACCAATAAAAAATATCATGAAGTGAACATTCATACCTTGAAGACGGTCCCAAAGGCTCCGGAGCCGAGTACCCTGATTTTCTTAAACTCCGTCTCCTTCAGCATCCTCAGCAGCGCCTGGTTAGGAGCTTCACCGCTCGGCGTCAACGGCTCCACCAGCTACAGAACACACATTTTATTTGAACCCTCCAGTAACATCACACATATAAATATTTACAGGGGTTAAATACATTATTTGACAGTAGGGTGAAGAAAACACAACACTGTAGACCTCTGACTATACAAACAGTCTGTATGTGCATGCGTCCGCTTTGTTAGCTATTTTTTTCTGTGCCAATTTTGTGATGGAAAACTTGAATGAACACTCCCACCTCTCTCTCCTGTAGCAGGCGACGTAGGGTCCTCTTCCTCCTGATTCTTTGTCGCCGTAGCGACACAAAGATTACCAGTGACACGATGACAGCAATCAAGAGCCCACCAACTACGCCCACCGCCAACGTGGAGTGGGTGGCAGCACTGTGAGGACGCACAGAATGCAAGACGCCATCCTGAGTATTATTTCTCTTGCATTTAAACTTGCCATCATAGTTGTCCATTGAATCTAGACTGCATTGAATTTGATATGCTCTACTTTATATAATATACATAACCAGTAAATTAAACCAACCAACAGTATGAAATTAGGTCAATCAGCTTACATGTTAATGAATCACTTAATAACAGTCGAACAAACAGACTTTCAGCTGGAACATCAAACGCTTCAATATTCATACAATGTGAAGGTGATCTGAACATTTTTGAAGAGTTTTTAGATAAAAAGAGATTACGTATGAACATAAAGCAGCTTTTCAGCTCCTGCGTTAATTTAATTATGAGCGACAAAGCTGTTTGGTCCAATCACCACAACTTTCCTGCAAATTTGACTGATCATTATAGTTTCCTTCGCAAACTGTTGAGCCATCCGTCACCAAACTCACTTCCTTGTCTCTAGTGTTGAAGATAACCTCTATCATTTACCCTCCAAACTGTGAGATCTCTCAGGTATTTTTGCTTCACTTTCTCCAGCAATTCCAATGCAATTTTAATTACTTTTAATTTACTTTCTGTCAAATTCATTGAAGAATTGAGCTGAAAACTTTAAGCGAATGTGTATCCTGTGATTTTATGAATTCATAAACATAGAGACGAGAAAAGGCACACATGCTGCTGTTAGCTTACAGCTAACGTCTGTAAGGTCAACACAGAACAATTTGCACAAATGACGCAGGGCAAACAATTTCTAATCTCCTCAAATTGCTGAATAAACATGACTTCATCATCTTAGTAAAGACAGGTGCAACAGTAGCGCAACCTCCAAAGTATCTTGGATAAAAGCATCGCTTTCAGACGCAACATCTGAACAGCCAGTCTTACTCTCTCGTAGACATTCATTTTGTGAACTAAAATGAGGTCAGTGAACAGGCAGGATTCAAGAAAACATGTAGGTTTACTGGTCAAAAAGCCAAAGTTGTAGTTTTACCCAGTGCATCCAGACAGTCCAGGGCCTGAACACCTGCAGACACAGACACACGAAGCAATTTATGAGTCATTCATTTATTGGTCATCAGAGACGTCAACCAGCTCTAAATGACAAGTTAGCAACATGTGTCTCACCCCTGGGTGCAGTTCTTGTGACAGGACTGGCACTGGCCTGTGCTGTCAGGGTATTTCCAGATCAGCGTATCTCCATCTCCCAGCATACCATGGGGACAGTGCGGCACGCAGTGGGGGCCGTCTTTAAAATGGGTGCACTGGGAACACTGGTCTGGACCCTGCAGGTGGAGACGGAGGAGGGATGATATAACATTTGGTCAGTTCTTAAAGGTCCAGCAGCATCTAGTAGTGTAGTTACAGATTGCAACTTCGTGGCTTCACCCACGCCTTCCAAGCGAAAAGGAGAAACCACAGTGGCCACAAAAACGCAAAATGCACTATCTAGAGCCAGCGTTTGGTTTGTCCGTTCAACATGGAGGACTCAATATTTCTACAGTAGCCCAGAACGGACAAACCAAACACTGGCTGTAGATATGGACATTTGCGGCCATCGTAGTTTCTCATACTAGATTTAAATTAACCTCAGCAGACAGCAGCAGCAGTTGAACTCACCGGTCCGTGGCAGGTTGGGATCCCGGTCTTTAGGAGACACTCTGGGTGACACTCGACACAGCTGCTGTTCACCTGCACCTCTCTGGGCTCTCTGCATAAAAAAACATCAGGAGTCAGGATGGAAGCCCACAGAGACTATTTCTAATATCCAGTGAGGAAAGAAGTATTCAGATCTTTCACTTAAGCAAAAGTAGTAATACAACGATTCTTACAAGGTTATATGAGGTTTAAACATTTAAATATATCAGCTAACAACTATTCTCCATGTAAGTGTCACATGGTGTCTCACTCCCTTAGTTTGTTTGGTTTGTTTCCATAGACTGAAACTGCTGTTTTTATCATCTACGTCGGTGAATTAGAGGCATACTATGCAGTTTTCCGGTTTTGTCAAACAGCTACCCCTAGAGTCGCTGCGGAGTACTTGTATTTAACGTTAACTGTCGTAAATACCACTTACCAGAGCCGTCTCTATATACGGCTCTGCGTCTCTGCACTCATGGCCTGATCCCCTCCGTGTCGGACATCGAACAGGCAAAGATAGACTCCGAAGATGTCTACTGACCAGGTAACGTCTGAGTGAATGCCTGCTAGTGTCTTCCATTGAGGCTGCTTCTTATGTCGCTGATGTACGTGGCATCGCGCTGTAAAGCAATTCGTGATTCTCACGGGATTTCACCTTCAGACTTGCATTGCAGGTTCTGCCAACGGCGTCCCTCTCCTGCTTTGCTTTCGGTATGATTCGCTATACTACGAGTTCATTTACCATCAAAATGACTTAGAAGCGGTTATATTAAGGTAAAACTCTTGCATAGTGTGCCTTTAAGGATTTATTTCCACCAAACCAGAGTTGGTGATTGTTGGAGACACTAACAAAGACGGTTTTGGTGAGTTTTATTCCATTCCATTGGTCTAAGATACTGGTGCTTTAGTGTGGTGGCTGTTGTACAAAATATTTTGTTTTGAGTTAAGAAATTACAGTTGTGGCTAGGGATGATTTGGCCCTAATCTGCCCCCTAGTGGCTAAACATTTCAATCCTCACACACAAATTCCTCAGGGCTTCTTGCCTACACAAGGATGTAATTAAAAGTATAAAGTAATGTATATAAACATTATATTATTATTTACAAATTTCAACCTGCCGTGTCTAACTGAGTAATCTTGTGCATCTTTAAAAACTGAACATCAACACGTGTGTGTGAGCACGGTTCATGTCCCAGCACTGTCTCACCCCTGCAGCAGGTTACAGAACCCCACACAGCGCCCCCTTCGGTCGAAATGCTGACAGGAGACACACATGGTGGGACCTGGACCCCAGCAGCCCTCATCTGTGCACTCTGTGTCGCAGGTTTGATTCTGTTGTTCTGAGGGAGACAAGAAGGTTTTCTTATTTCTTTCACTTCATTCACAAACACAGATGACAGCAGTGACCCCGACACACATCCAGAAACTCACTGCACACGTCTGGTGGGGCGTTGTTGCGCATGCTGATTTTCTGGTCACTGGATCTGAAGAGGCGGGTCCACTGGTCGTGCCCGGTGTAGCAGAGCTGAGAGTTGTCCTTTATTATCACCTGCCCGGCACTTACCTCCTTCAGAGAGCGCAGACCCAGCCAGCGAAGGTGCTTCGCCTTCACCACAACCAAACTGTGCTGACTGGAGAGGAAAGATATAATGTGGAGGTTAATAAACGATATTTAATATTCAGCTCATGACAAAGGTTTGTTTCTGGTTTACAGAGGTCAGAGGACACTTCCATAATCTTTATCTCTTTTCAGCAAACTCTGTTCAGGAGCTGTGCCTTTTCTCTTCTCTTAACACAGGAAGTGTTTGCTGCATGTGCTAATAGTACTAACTATCATTAGCAACTTCCTGGTCCTATTAGCTGCCTACTGGGAGTTCGAAGGATGGGGGAGGTTTGATTACACTACTAGCAGAGGAGAATGAGCACCGGAACCACAGCAGGGAGAGTGGGCAACGAAACTGACAGAGGTCAGGTGATTTACTGTAACTCCACACAGATCTGATGTTTTCAGCTCTTCACTTTAACCAGAGCTGGGTGAGTTGGCAACAAGACACAGTGGGTTCAGGTAAGAAAGGGAGAGGCATAAAGCGGGAAAGGAGCTGGTTTGTAGCCAGTTAATTAGTCAGTAACTATTAACGTTACTCATCATCCATCATTGAAATCGTATTAAATTAGTTTTTCTATTAGTGGCAACTAATAGAAAAAAATTATTATGATGATATTTATTTGTCTTCAGAGATTCTGCACTTGGTTAAGGTTCAAGAAAGATAGTGGTTTTAGTTTTTAACAACATGGCAGACTCAGGATGTGAACCTTTGTCAAAGTCTTCGTCCATTCTGCCACGAGACAAATAACACTGAATGGATATCAAATATTTTCCACTTAATATAAATATAATAGCATCTGCATCTGCTCGGCCACAGAGAGGATCTGGTCTATATTAAGGTCTACCATGTTTAAAGGACCAGTGTGTAGCATTTAATGGCATTTAGAGGTGTAGTTACAGATTGCAACTGTGGCCACGAAATGCATGCATCTAGGGCCAGTGTTTAGTTTGCCTGTTCTGGACTACTGTAGAAACCTGGCAGACTACACCAATAGAGGACCTGCTCCCTCTACAGATAAAAAGGATTCTTATTTTCAGGTGATTATGCACTAATGAAAACATACCTTTAATTACAGCAGCAATGTATGTGTGTGTATAAAGACACATCTGTTAATGTCATCCCCATCTGAAACCCACTGATGCAAAATAAACTAGTAAATGGACGTCTGAGTTTAGATTGTTTTGTTACTCAGTGTTTTTAAATGTAAATTCTGCCGCCACTAGCTTCAGTTAATCTGTGAAAAGCAGCTTGTAAAATTTTGGACAGAATAAGAGCTGACCTGATGTGATAGATTAACTGTGATTTAGCGACTCTCCGCAACCAAGCACAGGATGTGATTCATGAGGTCAGACATGCACCAAAAACTCACTGCCAGACCATCATTTTATAATCCGTCACTGAGAAATATAGATATAAAATCTCAAATATTCCCTTTCCATAATTTCTGACCACTGAGGTCATTAACACAGGTTTGATAAATTCAGACTTACACGTGTGTTGTTCTTCCTCTGATAGTCTCCAGGTTCTCAAACACTGAAAGAGAGGTCAGATTCTCCGGCCAGAACTGGATCATCAGGAAACCTGGACCACACACACACACACACACACACACACACACACACACACTTACTGTTGTATCTGCTGTTCACTGAGATCAACTATCATTTGAACCGACAGGTCAGTCACTGGTTCTGTATCAGCAATCAGTTCTCACAATGGTGGATAGAGATGACCTTTGACCTACCTGAGATTTCCTTCACTGTCCTGAAGTACTCCAGTTTAGCCGGGTCCATGGGGGGGATTTTGTAGTGCGCGTCCCTGGAAAAGCAAAAGGCCATTGCACACCAAGTCTGTATTTTTCATCCACAATTGACGCACATTTAAAAATAAATATGACGGCCTTGCATTGTGTCAATCATGTTACACACTGACTGCGAAACCTTTATTAAAGTTAAAAAATGTTCTGCGTTTTTCCTGCATTTTTCTGTGTCTTTAATTTTAATCCAGAAGACACAGATCTCTTCTTTTATTGGCCTTCACTTATTGTTTGATGTGTAAAATGTGTCACAGAAGCTTTTAGACACTTTTACAGCGCTTGTTTCACCCAAAAGGGGACGAGGTTGTCCTGAAGACATAACTGGACATATGCCTGCTCTCATCTATTGCACTCTGAAACTGGGGTCGCCAAATCGCGAAAAAATACCCAACCTTACATGTTGTTGCTTTCAAGCGAGACAGTGAAGAGTTTCTCACCCAGTAAAGGAGGTTTCAATGAGGTAGATGGCCCCGCTGATCTTCGTGCAGTTCCTGAAGGATTCAATGTTGGAGGCGTTGACGGCTATGGTGTTGGTCAGAGCGCCAACCCCGACTCCGTCACAGACTGCAGGAAGGGAAAGACTCTGTCAGGTCATTTGTTTAGTATTCAGGTCTCTCTCTATCTTCCTCTCTCTACCTTTAGGACAGGGCCCGTCGCAGGCTTTGCAGCGTTGGACCCCGTTTTCCGCCACCTCGTGCATTCCAGCGCTGCAGGTGCGGACACATGATCCACCTGTCACCACGTAGTAATCTATATTTGTTTTCAAGTACAAAGCAGAATTGTATTAGTTTATACCAAACGTTAAAAAAAGAACTGCACTATACTTGCAGTATAGCTCATATGCTCATATATTATTTTCCTTGTCATGTTATTTTAGAATGAATTACTGGGCAGAGCTCAATAAAACAGAGGGTTTGAGGTCCATACATGGGCAGGCCTTGACGCAGGTCGCTCCGAAGGTGAACTTGGCTTTGGGATTGTTGACCACCTGGTGGGTTTTGGGGTCGTAGATTGTCAAAGCAGGACAAGCGTCTTTACAGGTTCCGTCATCATTAAAATCTCTGCAGGCCTGGAGAGCAGAGAGACAGTTGATTTACTCTTTGAAACCAACTTTATTTATATGAATAGTGGATAATAAATGAAGCATAACTCAACCACAAACGTTTACTGTTATGGATGGACTCTGGACACTGACTTTTTGAAGGTAGCTGACCTTTTTAAAAACTGTTTCCAACGATGGCTTATGGTGCAGATCCTGTATTTATTTAATTTTGCCATTTTGTGTCCCAGACATTTGTAACTAACACACTTTAAGGGCAGTAGCGCTGTATTGGGATGATGTGGTAGTGCTGTAGCACACAAACTGACCAGGCAATCGGTGGCTCGAGGTCCGGTGCAGCCAGCAGCACAGTGTTCATTACAGCAGTCGATGGGTTTTGGACCCCGACACCTTCTGCTGCACTGCTCGGCACACTGCAGCTTGGTGACTGGTGGAGACACAGAGAGGGAGTGCAGCTCATCAACAAGAATGATAAGAATGTTTTATTTATTATTTATTGTTGTTCTGATTTGGGCCACTTTCATACGAGATCCTAAATCATATACGGGTCAGATTTTTTATGTCACATAAACAGATCTGAGCAGGGTTTTTTTCTTGACAAAATGGGGGTCATCGTTTTTGAGATAGTCCATTAGCTGTTCTTATCACAGCCGATTTTTTCACTCTCTAAACAGACCTTTTTCACACCATTTTGACATGAAGCAGTAGAGTAAACACAGGTGTTATCAATAAAATGAACAAAGGCTCTGTTCCATTTAGTGTAGCAGAGCTTTTACAGTCACCTGGATGGAACAGAACCGTAAACAATAATGCCTGTGTTTACCCTACTGTTTCATGTAAAAATGGCTGTTGTGAAAAAGGTAAAATGACTACAGCTTTCCTCTGGCAGTAACATTAATTTGGCCACAGCACAGGATAAACTGCACCTAAAATGTTCCAGGACAACAAGGTCATTTTTATTCAATTTCAGGGCGTTTCCATGACTGGAAAACTAGTCTCTGAATTTCCAGGTTTTCCAGGACATGTGCGAACCCTGTTATAGATCAGAATTGGGCGCCTGCAGTGTGAAGATCAATACATGAAAGAGTTTGAAATGTGTGACGGTGATTGATGAGGTGTGTATTTGAGCGAGTGTGTGTTTACATCTCTGGCAGTGTTCCGGTCCTGCTGCCCAACACGAACCATTAACACACCCCGGATCACACTTCTCACCTGGAAAACACACACACACACACACACACACACACACACACACACACACACACACACACACACTCATTAATATATTCAGCAGATCACAGCCTCCTCAGTAAACTTCATCTTTATCTTTATTTTCTACATACATTTACGTGTTGTTACGTTTTCCATCTTGAAAAGCATGCTGGGATTGCTGTCTTTGTCCAGGATGTCCCACCACTGGATGGTCTCAGTGTTACACAGCAAGGGATTGTGGGTCATCTTTACCCCTCCTTTCAGGATCTCTGTGAGAAGAAGATGACGGAGACGCATACTGAATGATACAGTTTACAGAGTTCAAGAATTAAGTCATCAAGTCAATGAATTCCACGTCAAAGTCCAGCTCTAAGTCAGTGAATACCCCTCGTGAAAAGCCCCTATCTAGAGCCAGTGTTTGTCTGTTCATGGCGGACTCCACCAGAAGAGATATAAACGTTTCATTCTAAGGTAACGAAAACACAATGATTCTCAGGTTTTCAGGTGATTATACACTAGTCTTCCGGGACGTCCTTTGTCTGTCCAACAGCGTGGGAGAAGCAGTGATTTTTAAGGTGGAACTGCTTTATTCAGTGTGTTTAAGGTGGAACTGCTTTATTCAGTGTGTTTAGTGGTTTTAATCAGCGGGTCTGTTTGTTTTGGAGAGGAGGAGACCTCTGTGGATCATTGGGCTCCCGGTAGAGCAGTAAATAGTGTAATAATTCATACTGAAGGTCCACTTCATCTAACTGGCTACATTTAAACAATATTAAAAGCCAACACGTCCACTCATACTACACTTCACTACATGAATCTGGGGAAGTACTGGAAGTAAACCAGTGTCCATCACTGCGGTGGCGTCTCTCTACAGTATGTGCACGTTTTAATGCAAGCTGTTCTAAGAACTGGACAGTTTTCTACTTTTCTCTTTACTTTCTGTGTAATGCCATTTTTACAACGATGTCTAGGAAATAGGGAAGAAGCTGAGCAGTTATCAGCTGCTCCAACAGCAGTGACATTCTTCAACATACAAGCCTTAACTTCATGAAGAGACTATAGAACAAACAGAGAGTCCCTGCAGAGGACCAACACATTCACATCAAATCACCCTGTATTCCTATGGAAAAAAACGGAACATGAAATGTAACTAATATAACTGGTCTGTGATGATTAAATGCAACTGTCCTTATTTCTGGATATTGTCTCACTAATATGTAAAAACACTGAGCTCTCCATCCATATAAGGAACCTTCATCAATAACTGCCACTGCCTAACGTCACACCAACTACCCATAATGCTGCAGTCCCTACGAGGCGCCACCGCAGTAATGGTGGTGCCACTAGATAACGGGACACACAAACCAATATGCAGGATTTACTGGAATCTCACCATCACCTTCCGAGAGTATAAAGAAACTAGATTTTTCTGTCTCTTTAAACACAGTAACTGTAATATATCAGCTGGGGTTCTCAACCAGTTGGGATTACTCCGCTTTACCATCAAACTGCCGCTGAGATCTCTCCAGGCAGGCAGGGTCGACCCCGGCATGGTACATTTGCTGGGAACGCTGAGCACTTTCAGGCCCCCTGAACTACCCGCTGACTTGGTAACACTTTATTACTTTACTCTATTACTACACTTTAACAACCAGTGCTGCAAGACCAGCACTAGTCAAGAGTCCAAAGAGGTTCATGTCCAAGAGCTATGAAAAGGAATGTTTTCGTCAAACGGATTGACCGCCTGGTAACCATTGTTACCGTGGATTTTGAATTAAATCACTTCATCAGTGTTTTTGCTTTGAAGAAAAAAAAAACATATTTCTGGACTCGGTTGAGTCCAAGTCCAAGAGAGAACTGATAATAACCATCCTTACTAAATAGTAAATTGATAGTTAATTAAACTTCAGGCAATAGTTATTTAACAAACAGAATTAGTTTATATATTGTATATTGTATTATTAACCATTCAACAAGGTGTTATAATCATCAGTTTTAACTTTATAAAATCATCAAAATAATGTTGATAGACGGTTTATGAACTAATTATTAACAATTAACAATTAACAGTGTAACAAATATCTCTGTGTAAAGATTTACAAATAATTTATCAAACAAATGTTATTTGTGTGCAAGAATAAACTGCTAATAAATAGTTTAATAATTAATCAGGGTGTAATTGTTATCATCTCATATCAGCTATTATACAATATATAATTTATTAACAAATTATTTCAAATAAATACCAGCATTACCAACAATAAATGAAGATTATTAATTATTATTTCATTGTTTGTTAACAGTGTACCCGTCAGACTGCTGAGCTGCAGCTGTTTCAGGCCGCTGGTGTAGTTGAGGGTTGCAGACGAGTGGTTTCTGTTGTAGTTGGACATCACCAGCAGAGCGAACCGGCTCTGGTAGAGGTTCTGGCCCCGGATCAGCCTCAGATTGACCAACGGGATGCTCGCCGCCTCGTTCATGGCGATCAGAACGTAACCGCCGACTTCCTGGATGGACTGAAGAAAGAGAAGATGGCGATCACTAAGTAATCATCGGTATTTGTTTGTACGCTTTAAGGGGAATAACAAACTCCACATCTTTTAAATTCCTCCTTATCATTTAATCCGTCAGTCTCAAGATTGATTCCCTTCCTGGATTCATGATGTATGGCTGTTGAAAATGTGCCGGATTACATATATTAACTGTGCCTGCTGTCTGGAGGCCAGTGTGACCAGCACAATCAGGTCAAGTCCATTTTTATTTATATAGCCAATTATCACAAATCCTTATTTATTCTGCTGAGAACCTAGATGGTAATAAAAATATCATTATTAGAAGAAGTTATTACCTAGCAAGTACACAAAAACATACTCCTCCATCCTCCTGCCTGTGACCTGGAAATCAATCTCCATCCTGAAGCACGTCTCAATTCCTAAAATGCATCTAGAGGAGCGAGGAGGCTTTCCATGAACATATATAGTATGTACGTAAAGTATGTATGTAGCACTGATCATTTATTTGGGTAGGATACTTTCACCACCTAGTTTCTTTTTCATATACATAATAACTACACTAATAACTGGATTTCAATATTTTACCATTTAGTCTCTGGTAGGTGTCCACATAATTAAGAAATAACTTTGTACTTACTAGCCAGTTCTTTACGAGTAATTAATTAAATAATTTAAGTAATTTCCCCCTGGGATTATTAAAGTAATTCTGATTCTGATTCTGATTGCTGATTAGTGAACTGTAAAGTGACAGGAGGCGTTATAATCTGTACACCATACGATCTGTACAATCAACAAAAAACTGCCTCACAAAAACCCCTTTTCCTCAGGGAGAGCAATAGAGGAGGGATCCCTCTCCCAGGACGGACAGACATTCATACAGTCTCTATATTTAATATTTAAGTGGGGGATCAGTGGACGTTTTAACATGTTAAATGATCGATTAACAAAAATCCTTGAAATCTGCTGATATGCACAGTTTATATTATAGTTGGCTGGACATGCAGCTGTGATTCAAGGCTGCTTTGAACTCCCTCGGGTGACACGATGAAGGACGCTCTGACCTGCTTAACAGCAACTGTTTGAAAAACCCACATGATTGTTTTCACAGCGTCCATGTTTGCTTATTTTTGTCTTCCGGGTTTGACTTTTCTGGTAACAGAGATCCAAAGTCAGCATTGTTTGGCGGATGAGCATCAGTTCACGGATGTCAGAGCATCCTCTAATGCAACACAAAGAGAGAAAGCAGGGCCACAGGAGGGAAATGTCTCTCTGACAGAATAAAGATTGTTCAGCAAGTTTGATAGAAATGAACCAGCGGCTGCCAGAAAGAAGGAGATCAATCTGAAAACTGATGGACGATTTAAGAAATTATCTTTGGCACTCACAAAAAAGACAAAAACACAGCAGCACTGGAGACAAACCTGGAGGAAGGACAGGTCCTGGTGCTCCAGGGTGTAGGTGACCTCCAGGTTCTCCAGGACCACGGAGCAGTTTGAGTACATCCTCACCATGTTCTCATAGTGGTTATCACGAGTCCCCAACAGCGTCAGCTGGTTACTCATTCCCTGACACACTGACAGACAGACAGACAGACAGACAGACAGACAGACAGACAGACAGTCATTATTGATGTCAGAGCTAGTGTGTTCAGTCGCAGTTCCTCTGATGCCCACTAGATGGTACGAATTCCTCATTTACCCTGGCTGTATTGAAGTGAATGGGAAATATTCTCCTAATGTGAGTCTGAAGCTGCATTTGAATGTTTTTGGTTCAGTTTGGTGAAGTACTGAGTTAACAATAAAGTGGGGTCACAGTAAATAATTTGTAACCACACTGTAGAGTTTACATCGAGGTTTAGTTTCAGTTTCCACGATGAGTTTTCAGTCAAATTTAAACTAACGTTTTTAATTAAACTAATGATCATTAATGATAATTTCGTTCGTCAGGGGCAAGATTGAGGAGACTCAGAACAGGTATTACAATACAAACATTGACTCACTAAACAAATGAACCAACGCCTCCTCGTGCTGTTGTGTTGACAGATTTCATTTTTCAATTTCATTTTGTTTTGGTGAGTTTTGTTTGTGGACAATATCATTTCAGTTGAACACATTTCTGCTGTGAGTTGATAGGATATGAAAGAAAAGAAAGAATGAAAAATGGGTCATTCAGTAGAATCAATAAAGACTGATTATTATTTGTTGAAAGACAGATTATCACAAAGAAAACATTTGTTGTAGGTAGTTTTTTATTGTGTCTTTTGTTTCTGTGTAAAACTCCAATGGCAGGAAGTCATTTCAATAAATTATTAATTCTTCTTTTTTATTTAAAGTCTTTTCAATTATGTTCTTTATGTTTTATCCTTAAGTTCTAATATGTTTAATCTGTTCTGTTTTTAATCTTACTTTTAATCTTGTGTTATTATTGTATTATTGCTTTATTTAGTTTTTATTGTGTTGACATGTTTTGATTTTCACATGGAAAGTGATTTATAAATTTAACAAATCTATTTTTTATTAATGAAGTACGTTATTTGAGAGATATGAAGGGGGGAAATAAATATACTGAACATTTAAATGTCCTGTTTCCTACTTTGATTAAAGTGAAGACTAAAGTGTTAAATGCTGGAGTGGAGGATCAGTGTCGGGTTTCATGGTGACGTCCATTCAGGAGGCGTTCAGGTAAATCAGGTAACACAGTTTCCAGATTAGAGGTAATTACATAAAATATTAAAAGTAGGCGCAGGAAGGTGTGACACAATTTCAGAGAAGTTTAAACAAGTTTAACATCAGCTGCGGGGCCCATCAATGAATGTGTGTGGAATGAAACCCTACAGGCTCAGTTTGTTTCAGCCAGCGACTTCCTCCTGAGGCTCTTAAAGGGAAAGACCAAATCGACACGAGGAGGTGAGACGCTTCTGAAGTGACGTCAGCGAGCGGATACAAAACTCCTGCAGTGTTTCTCACACCCGTCCAGCAGGTTTGTCCTCCACACACTGCGCCATTTAAAGCCACCTGACACAGATTTAACTTCTGTGAGTCTGAGACAGTTTGAACTTGTCAGAGAAGAAGTCCACCGCCACGCCGGCGCCCTCATGAGGCCGTCATACAGCGGAGGACTGAACTGTGAGACAGATGAAAAGTGGAAATCATTAGTTGACGAACTGATGGTCTGAACTTGTTTCTCTCTGTGAGTTTCTCTGGCTGCATTCCTATTGGCCGGCTCCCCGCTGTGATGTCACAAAGACAACACAGCTGCACTTCCCTGCCTCTCTCTGATTGGCTGACTTTGGGGGAGGCAGCCCATTGGTCAGAGCCTCAGGGGGAGTGGTCCACATCTGGCACACACACACACACACACACACACACACACACACAACCTGAGCCCTCATTCTGTCTTTTCTTAATGAAAATATTAAATGTGTGGAGTTATAGTGTAAATATATAAAAGAACAACATTTTTAAACCTATAAAACTTCTAAATAATAATAATAATAATAATACATTTTATTTATAAAAAGCTTTCCAGGGAACTCAAAGGTTTTTTAATCCCACTCATTTCTCCCTGTGTTGTCTTTCTTTCTTCCTTCCTCCATTCTCCCCAGTTCCCTGACATCCTCTCACTACATCTTCATCCCTTCTTTCTCTCCTCTCCTCCTTCACTGAAACTCTCTCACATTAAATTAAACCTGTAATTTCTGCCCGTAGGTTGGAAACATCTGGTATAATGTAAGAACACAACTGGACTCCATATAGAACATAGCTCTAGAGTTTATACACTGTTCAATGAGGAGACGTTACAGATTAACATTTAAGTGGTTTCGACACAAACTCAACTTAGTTAAGATCAGGAAACAATCATTGTGTTAAATAACTACTTCGTTAAGGGTGAGGCAACCTTCGTTGTCATGGTTACAATAATAACCGCACTCATAAGGTACTCTGGACATACACTGGTAACTGTCTGTCATTACTTTGAACAAAATGTAAAAAGGCTCGTCTTTTTTCTCTGATTTTTGAGTCACAGTGAGTCTAAAAAAGTGTGTTCACGTCTGATTTATGACTCACAGAACGAGTCTGCAGCAATCGGGCGCTAAGATTTAAGTACCTTAATCTCCTCTGTGTGTCACAACCACAGTTCCATAGTAATGTACTGCTCATGAATAACAAATTGAGTGTGTTATATGTAACTATTATACAACATTCACTACAGTTAATATGAACACTACTGCTTCTAACAATAAGAATAATAAACCTCAATGAATGAGCTTCAATCTGACTCTGATAGTGACGACTCACAGGTTCAACTTACGCAAGTACAGACACTGGTCCTCACAAAGAGCCATGTACAAGCACACACACACACACACACACACACACACACACACACACACACACTGTGTGTGCTGTTTGTTCAGGAACAGGTCTGATTTGTCAGATTGTTTCTTGGACGACGTCCTCGGCTGCTGTACGGCACATTGCACATGAAAAGAGTCCATCCTCCCTCTGTGTGTGAGTGTGTGTGTGTGTGTGTGTGTGTGTGTGTGTGTGTGTGTGTGTGTGTGTGTGTGTGTGTGTGTGTGTGTGTGTGTGTGTGTGTGTGTGTGAGTGTGTGTGTGTGAGACGCATTGACATGTACAAAGGACAGAGAAAATGTAGAAATGCTTTTGCAATCTTTCATTAGAAGACAGATGTTTGTTGTCACAACTGCTTCACTTTTCAGAAGCTCTGAATGACAGTTCCAGGCAGCAATAAAAACTACTGTACCACTGATATGGTCCATTTTCCTGAGAAAGGTCATCTGTGCTTGTGTTGTGACAGAAGTAGAGTAAACTGAGATTGTCGATGGTCAAAATCACTTCATATACTGTATACTATATAAACTGTATAATATATGGATTTTGTATATGTGACAAATGCCAGGATGTATACTAGATTAGCAAGAAAAATACCAATTCTGGGAGTTGGCGAGCCAGCCAGGAGGGTCTTCTCACCAGCCTCTCACAGACCCCTGTGACCCCCCCACAGCTACACAGACCCCTGCAGCCAACGCAGCAACATTTCTGTCTACTGTACGTATTTATTCTGATTAGTTGAGCTTTAGGTAGACTTTATAAGATAACTTACAGCCAGAGAAAGCACCATCCACCCTCCTCAGCTCAGCTCAGCAGCCTGAGAGAATACTGTGGTATTAATATAATATTAATATTTACCTTCATTCTTTTTATTAAACGTAGCCTTCAGTGCCCGGACGGTAATGTTGTAATGACGTATGTTTGAATATACTCCAGTGTGAACAGTCGGCATACGTAATCATTCATTCAGTACGCAGCAGGCAGTACGTTGATTTCAAACCCAGCCTCTATATCTTTTATCTTTTATAGTCACTAAATCTTTTGTTCAGATGCAAACCAACATGTTACTTATTCATTATGTCTCTCACTTCCTGTCTCACTTCCTGTCTATCCGCTCCAATCTCTTCATTTTTAAACACCACAAATATAAAGTTTCATTTTGAAACTGTAGTTATTTATCCTCCTGTATGAGGAGGAAATAGAGCATTTGTGGACTATTTTCAGCGGCAGATGAATCCACACCGGGCGCTGTAGTGAGTGTTTGTGGCAGCAGGACGGTGTATAAATGAACTACAGTGCAGCTCATTGATGTGTTTCTAACACCTTTTGGACAACAATGGAGCTGTACGGCACAGAGGAAGCAGATATATCAGGCTGTGGTACTCACACAATACCTGTTAGGAGATTCATTTCAACTTGAACTTGACCTAAAGTAGCTGTGTGTGGCTCATGCCAACGATCCTCACACCGCCCTGTTACAGCTCGGAGAGAGAAACCACAAATGAATCAGAGGGAGAACGTGAAGAAACTGGATCTTTCAAATCCTTCTCATCCATCCCTCCTCTGCCTCCATGTTCCTGCTGACTCAGCTAGAGTGCACAGCAAAGAAAAGAAGGAGATGTGAATCTTCTCGTCAGTGTTTTGCTTTGTTTTTCTGAAATGGAAAGTTTCCAAATCCTCCGATCTTGTTGAACCAGCAGCTGGAACACAGTGTGTGTGTGTGTGTGTGTGTGTGTGTGTGTGTGTGTGTGTGTGTGTGTGTGTGTGTGTGTGTGTGTGTGTGTTTGGTTAGACAAACTGTTCTAACTTTCAGGGTCAAACTGACTTGTTTATCACTGTCAATAGTTCGTCCACCTCTCTCTCTCTCTCTCTCTCTCTCTCTTTCTCTCTCTCTCTCTCTTTCTCGGTGCTTGCTTCATGTCTAAAGGAACAGTTCAACCTTTTATATCAGTGCACAGATCCAGGCCCAAAACATGGTTTGCCTAGCTTAGCACAAAGACTGGAATCAGGGGGAAACTGATAGCATAGTTCCATCAAAACAGAGAAAATCCACCTTCCAACAACTCTTAAGTCAGCCTGAGTTTGAGCTTGGACCCGACCTGAGCACAAAGAAATTTGATACGAGCCTGAACCTAAATTTCGGCTTATAAAATAAATCATTTGAATAGTTAATTACAGGCTAAAGTTAACTGCATTTTTTAATATAGTACAAATTATTA